CGCAGCTTTTAGATGTTTCATTTTGTTGATTAAAATTAAATTGATTGTTTGGGGGAAAAAAAGTGTTGTTTGTCAATAACTCCTTGACTTGACCTTGACTTCAATAACTGATTGAAGAAGACATATAATGATGACAGAACTAGATCAGGAAGTCTTCTGTTGCAGACCCCACATACCTAGTGTGATAAGGTTCACATTTATTTTTTCCATATGATCAGTCAGTCTTTACCCAATTAGCAGACTCAGCTGGGTGGATGTGCCTTAGTGTTGAGCCCTGCATTTCCTCCTTGGAAAGGGTAGACTGACAATGCACATTTTTTTCATAATTATGCATGGTACACGTAATACAGTACAGTATGTAACCAGTAAACCAAAAACCCGTATCATGATGTATATTATGAAGTCTATATATACATGATAATTAAATCTTCATTTGTTATTTAGGACTACAGACTAACTCCTGTAGTCCTGATATAATCACCCAATATCAGTTACCATTATAAAAGTATCGTGGTGCTATTTTATAATAACAAAAGATAATCTTGTAAAAGACAACTGCAAAATACTGTTTTTGTACCTGCATCATAGTGGTATGGAACCATCTTTTGTTTGTTTGTCGCTTATGTCAACAAATTTCGGCACCAACACCTACATGTAAGGTGCATGAATAATCAACTGAGGAAATTCGAAAAATCCAAACATTACTTCATTCATACAGTTCACTCATAATCATCTCAACTTTCTTTCATTTAAGTAGGAAAAAAATGAATTTTCTTATATATTTATAATTTAATAGGCCTCATTAGATTAATCACTGTATATAGCTCCAGGCTCCATAAAAATATTCAAACTTCCAAGCACAGACTTCACAGATGGAAAAAGAAACTTACCCGATTCCATTTCAAATTAAGGGTTCATTTCTTAACTCCAGTCTTTTAATCTGACATTATAACTTGAGCTAGATAATTACATCCGAACATTCTACTGTGTCACACTAATTACTAGGATTTAATAGGAAGATAACACTTGACACAAGTAGGTTTGACAACGCACTTGGTTTTTCTTTTACTTCCGCTTATTTGTCACGTGATCAAAATATTTGTGTATAGTTGGCGGATCTACAACTCTTCGTTCCTAGATCTAAAGGGGAGGGGGCAGCCAGAAAATAAATAAGGAGCAGAAAATAAATAAATATTTAAAAAAAAAAAAAAGAAAGAAAGAAAGAAAAGCAAGAAAGGAGAAGATTCAAGAAGTGCCTGAAAGCTTCAAATGACAAGAAAAAAGAAAAAAAACTGCCCAAACTCGAAAATGTAAGGAGAAGGTTGGGGGGGGGGGGGGGGGGCTTTCTCACTTCGACCATAAAGAAGCAAAAGTGAGGGTCAGCACCCACCCCACCCCCGCCTTCCTTGATACCACTGAATTTTTATAGATTGTAATTAGAATGCATGTGCATAATTATAAATATATATTTATGCACAGAATCATATAAATTGGGGGGAGGGGGGTTGGGTTGTCATTTTTCGACACCTGGGACCCGTTTTACTAAGGAGCTTACGACTAATACCAAAAACTTAAGTTGATGGCAAAACCTTGCAAAATTAATGATTCTATTAAGAATTGATGGCTCAAAAATATCTGTCTATAGAAATATTTTTATAAAAAATATAAAACCATTTTCTAATTAATCAATCTTACATCAAATTAATGTAAGATGGAACTTAATAGGCTACCCGTAGAATTACACTTTAGTCTTAGTCTTAAGTTCTTTTGTAAAACGGGACCCTTATCTATAAACAAATGTTCGGCTATAGCTCCCTTTCTTCATGGTCTTTGGGGTCTATCATGAAAATAAATTATCCGATATTTTACAGGCCTAATTCATGTTGCTTAGTTATAGTTAACATGTACATCATGCACATTGTATATATGTATATGATATATGAAAGCTACTTTACAATTTTATGTTTATCTTGGAAAATTCTAATATAATGACCCATTCTGTCACATTAATTCATAAAAAAAAATTTATTTCCAATGAAGTAGTACATGTAATACTTTTTATAAAATTTCCGAAGTTTTGAATCTTGTTTACTTCCTGATGGTACATGTAAATTCAACATTTTAAAATCCTCGGCGATATAAGAATAAAATAAATTAATGGTATTTGAACCTTTCCAAATGATCCCAGGCACTTAGAAAGAGCCTTTCATTAAAAATACGAGGACTCGATCTGCGTACTGAATACTTTTATACCCCCCCCCCCCCCGATTTTTATTATGAAAGAGAGATAACGTCTATGAATTTAAGATACATAAATATTAGAGTTACCGAACCTTTATTTGATTTATCTATATAGTTCATTATTCGTTTCATATGTATACCAAAATACAAGAACTCTCGAACTCTTTCTATCTCTCTCTAAAAGGGGGTTTTAGCTCATGATCCACACCTCTGCTCATAAGAACATGGGCGTATAAGCAAGAAAAGAGTTTATGTCTTGACAAATAAGAAAGAAAAAAAAATTCAATATCAATCATTTTCTTTGATATATGTCTTGCTGTTAACATTATTGTATATTCACAATTGCTACAATCTCATAAGTATTTAAAATATGCTTCTATGAAATAGCATACGTACACAAACACAAAAAAGGGGGGGGGGCAAAACTGGCCATGTCCCAATACTATAGCAACTAGTTTTCATATGAGTAGATCTTCGCTCCCTAATTTTAAAGTATGCTTGAAAAATATAGGTTCTTCAGTTTAAAAAAAAATGTGAATTATAAGGACCCATTAGTTAATACTGTGAAAACACACTTTTATTATATAATACAACATTCGTAGCTTTATGATATATTTGAAGTCCATTTATATAAGGGTAAAATCATAAACAAGAAGGCAAATATAGCTGTTATGATTTGCATGGCTCAGTGGTAAAAACTTCAGTCCCAAGAGAAAACTGAGGCTTGGGATTCTTCTTCATTCTGGAGTAATCCCCACAAAAACCACAAATGCAATTTTTTTTTTACCATAGTAGAATTTTTGCAGATAGAATTTTTCCGCAGAATGGTGTTGTTTGTTATAATTTCATACAAATTAATAATATGAATATTTTCCTTCAGTTTACAACCTGAAACTTGAATTTTATACACCCAAAGCTTTTGGCATATTCTGCGCCTTATCAACCCACGTTCTTTGCATGCATGACAGAGTGAAAAAAAAATGTACCATACATTACGATATGACTCTCAATACAATTATTATTACAAACATAAACATTGTTAAAAAAGGTTTACATAAATCTTTATGGAAATTTTCTACTCAAGAACAACAAAATTACTGTTAAACTTATATATATATATATTTAAGTTTCATATAAAGACAACAAATAACACAAGAAACCCATGGGCTACATCGGTCACCTGAGCACTTTGGCTAGGAAAAACGAGAAATCAGTTCATTATTAAATAGTTTAATAATATAAGTGGTCCCAACCTATTAAAGGGGGGGGGGGGCATGATTTGAACAAACTTCCTATGTTTTATCTTCTATCCCCCCCCGCCCCCCCCCCCCCACTACTTGGGGTTATTGATTGATTTGAACAATCTTGAATCTACACTATCTGAGGATGCTTCTGTATTAATATGACTAATCATGGCTTTGTTCTTCTCGAGAAAAGGATTTTTAATGATTAATACCTGACGGTGCTTTCATATTAATATGAAAAATCATTGCTTTGCTGTTCTTGAGAAGATTTTTCCTATTTTTTCCTATTTGAAACTTTGATCGTCCATTGTGGTCCCACCCTACCCCGGGGGTCATGATTTTAACTTTGAATCTACACTACCTGATAATGCACCCATACAAATATAACCAATCATAACTTTGCTGTTCTTGAGAAGACGATTTTTACTATGCATTCCAATGTGAACTGGTCATCCATTGTGGTACCAGCCTACCCTCCGGTGTCTTGTTTTGAACAAACTTGAATCTGCTCTACCTAAGGATGCTTCCGTATAAATATGACCAGTCATGATTTTGTTGTTCTTTAGAAGAAGATTTTTAAAGATTTTTCCTATGTATTCCTATGTAAAACTTTGATCGTCGATTTTGGCCTCACCCAACCCCCTGAGGTCATGATTTGAACAAATGTCAATGTACACTCTCTGAGGATGCTTCCATATAAATATGACCAATCATGGCTTTGTTGTTCTTGAGAAGAAGATTTTAAAAGATTTTTCCTATGTATTCCTATGTGAAATTTTGATCGTCCATTGTGGCCCCACCCTACCCCCTGGGATCATGATTTGAACAAACTACCTGAGGATGCTTCCATATAAATATGACAAATCATGGCTTTGCTGTTCTTGAGAAGATTTATAAAGATTTTTCCTATGTATTCCTTCGTAAAATTTTGATTGCCCATTGCAGCCCGCCCTAACCCGTGGGGTCATGATTTGAACAAAACCTAATCTACACTACCTGAGGATGCTTCCACATAAGTTTTATATTTTCTGGCCCACTAGTTCTTGAAAAGAAGATTTTTAGACGATGCCATTAATTTTTCACTAATTCGTAATTATCTCCCCTTGGAAGAAGGTGTGGTCCTTCATTTGAACAAACTTGAATCCCCTTTAGCCAAGGATACTTTGTGGCAAGTTTGGTTGAAATTAGCCCAGTGATTCTGGAGAAGAAGATGAAATTGTAAAAAGTTAATGACGACAACTACAGACAAAGGAGAAATTTTGATCAGAAAAGCTCACTTAAACCTTCGGCTTAGGTGAGATAAAAAAAAATTATAATTATAAGTTTAGCCCTATAATAGGTTTTTTTTTTTTAGAAATAATTTTGTATTTATTGAATTACAAAACTTAAATGTACATTATAACACATATTTTTAAATGACGATTAATAATGTTAAAGATCATTGCATATTGATTTATTCACCAAATAATATATGTAAATTAGAACCACATCTTAACATCCATCAAACTTTAAAAAAAAAAATGTTTGATCAATTTCCTTCTTCAGAATAATCTCTCCCTTAGAATAGCCTTTGTCTCTTAAATTAATCCGATTCATCAATGTCATACAATTGAAAGTAATAAATATATTATTATCATTGATTATAGTACCAATGTGTCCTTCACTATAAAAATTGAACTTTGACCTTTGAACTCTCTAACCAAAGTATCCGCGAGTATAAATAAGGTCGGTCCCTGACTGACACGTTCTTTTGCATTGGGCATTTATACAACATCTAGCGGGTAACGGACAGTGCTCGTCCCTGGAACACTCAGTTGTATCCGTGTTCCGGTACCCACAATGCCGGGATCTCACCCGACGGCAAGTTCCGGGACGGCGGGTGGCACAAACCGGATGACCTCCTTCATCAGGACAACATATCCTTTTTCCTCTACAGTCCTTGGATGATTGGCAGGGAACATCGAATCGGGGGTTACATTTCACTGCATCTTTTGGTGGGCATTCAGGGTCTGGGTAATTAGTGTCTGTAATTTAACAATGAAACATGTATTATAAATTAGGACACCTTATATTTTATCAGATCATTTGTCTCTCCCTAAATCATTAATGTGATAAAAACATTTTCATGCAGTACATAATTTGAAAATTATAATTTTACAACGATTATATATATATTCTCTCTCTCTCTCTCTCTCTTTCTAATTTCAACTATTTTTTTTTCTTTCGATTAAAGCCATCTTTATTGGTTGGTTGCCCTCTCGATCCGACCGACTGGCTAAAAATGGCCTGACTCAAAACTTTTTTAACCTCCAGGAAGCAATTTTTTATGCATTCTGAATAATAGATTTTGAAAATTCAGCATTGAAATTTTCTGGGGGGAAAATTTCTTACTACCGAACCGTTTTTTTTTCATCCTGAGTCGGGAGAGGGCAAACAAACATTATTTTAAAGTGACTTAATAAATTCTTTTTATTTAATTACTGAAAATATTGGACTGATTAATTTTTTCAACGAACCTTTAATAGAAATTTAAAAAAAGAAAGAAATTTAATCATTAAAGACTTACAAGCTAGAGCATACGTCCAGGTCATAGCAACTAAAACACATAATCCGAGATTCATGACGACTGGAAGTGAAACACAGAGTAATATCAAAACCACAATAAATATGACCCCTGTTCAGTCAACCCAAGACCCGACTCTGACTTGTGCAGAACTTCCTTCTAATGTCCCACCTGTAAAATTTTCACGGTTTTATATGTCGTAACCTACAATCTCTGTCGAACGTGTTGCATTTTATATAAATTTCAAAGATTAATTTTAGACAATTGCGTAAAATACAATAAGATACATACATCAAAATCTCTGACAGCTAAAGAAACATTAAGAATGTCACATCAAACCACAGATGTAGGCAGCCCTCATAATTCTCTGATGTTTGATGATGTCAATGACTATCTCCGCCAATCTTAGTTGATTCACGTTTTTGTTTTTCAGTTGCTATCATTTTCATTATTTCATTGGGGCATCCCCTTGATTAAATTATGTTGATTTCGTAATGACAAATTATCATTGCTATTTTTTTTACTGGGGGTTTTAATATTTTTTTGGTACACCCCTACTTCGGTCATCTGCAGATTGAAACCATGTTGCTGATTTCATGTACATGTATATATATTTTATGATAGCTAGGAAGATTCTCGCCATTCGATGTTAAATAGTTATATACATTTTACTATACATCAATCAAAAGTAATATTGAAATGATGATCGATCGATCAATGAAGGGTTTATAATTAATTATAACTTTCTTCACCTATATCCTCTGTATCTCTGTATTTTTTAAATAGATGAATGAGGAATTCTGCACGAAAATTTTCGCGAACATGGGGTTCAAATCTATAGACAAAGTTAATGTTTGTTTGTTTAAGGGGGGGGGGTGTTTTGCTCTTTTTGGAGGTTCTTTTTTGTTTGTTTGTTTGTTTTTAAGCATTTCATTCTACATCTCCAGATGTTTTCATGATATAAGCCTTTTTTATAAACCTGGCCGATAAATTACATCACCTTCAGTCAATGCTTACTCCTTTCCAAATAAAAATTTAATTATTTTTCAAATGTTTTCTTAAAACCATCATATATAAACTGAGATCCCCCCTCCCTAGGTCATTTTCTAATTTGTTTATAGAATCCCCCCCCCCCCCAAGTAAACATTATGTTCAAACACACACACATATATATATATTTTGATGTATATGTGGTTAACCTTGCCATGATTCAAATAAATTTCAAACATTATGTATGTTGTTATAGATAAGTTTAATTTGATAAAGTCTAAACTTTTAATGTAACAATAACCTTGAAATGCTATTCAGTTTATTTACATTTTGTTATGCCTTGTCCTGTTTGTGTCGGATTTTACTCTCGTGGTTAAAAATTGTATGCACAACAATATAAATCATAAATACGGTAGGGAGAAAGTTGGGATGGGGTTGACCAAACAAAGTAATTAATTTTAATCTCAATAGTCATCCAAGGGAGAGAATTACGTTTGAAGAATTTAAAAAATGTTGTTTTTTATGTCTTTAATAGAGTTTCTCAACTTCGTCTCATCCATGTTTTCAATATTTTTCATGATAAATGTCCTAATTATTTATCTGATAATTTTTCACAAAACTCTACAAGAATATAACTATCTCTAACAACTAGATCCAGTAGATTGATTTTTTTTGTCCCCAGAAATTGTGAAATAGAGTCAAAAACTGTTGTAAAAAGAATTTTAAAAGCATCTCTTATCCAAAATGAGATCAATGTCTGAAAATAAGTTTTTATGCTTCTAGTTTTCATAAAAACGTGTCTTGTCTTATTTAATCATTTATTTTAATGTATATCTTTATTTATATCAGAACTCTAGTTAGTGCTTATAACTTACTTTTTATGAGGATGAGATTTATGTTTAATTTCATGGGCTGTTTCTTTGTGCCATTCCTTAAATAAATAAAGAAACATTTATATAAAAACGTATATTTATATTTCTTCCTACCTCAATATCGAATTTAATTTTGTTTAATAAATGTAAACTTTGATGAATTAATTATTATTTCTGAAATATTGATATATAAAGCTATTTTTCCTTCTTCTTCTTCACTTTTTTTAAATCGGGTATAATAATTTTTTTAAAAAAGATTTACAGTGTATTTTATTTTTCGCAAAGTTCCGGATTAAAACGGACAACTTTCATTTTGTTACTTATAAAAACCGGAAAAGACAAATATTGTCATCCGGGTCACGATTTACGTATGTCAAAGTTGAAATAATGTAAGTATTTACCTTTGTGTTGTTGCAAACTCTTTTGTACCTCAGTTTATCTATAGTTTAAGTGTATTAGTACACACTTTTTATTGCAATGTGTAAAGTTGAAATGTTTCCAAAATTCAGTTCATTAACATATTTTCCATCTTGAACCGGGTCCGCCATTTTTTCCGAATTTATCATCCCTTAATATATGTAGCTTGTTTTCAAGAATATTGTCACTATCTTTTAATAAATTCTTAGTTTAAGATGTTATTTTGTTCACTTTTCATAGATATTTTGAGCTAATATTCAAATAAGTGCCAAATTTCAAGGAACGTCGGATACTATTGACACAGGAAGACTCGGTTTCGAACGGAAAATATTTATTTAAAAAAATCACATATACACATTCTTCACACGTGTCTATAAAAAGAATTATCGATGTATATCTTATTTCATATTGGTTTTTTCCATATTGGGGATGATATTGCTTCTCATTATAGCGATATTTTACTTGTGAAGAGGAACTATCTGTAAATATCATAGATTTCCCTATGGCTTTACCCCAGCTCACACACACCTTTCATTTTTTTTTTCTTTTTCAGAACCATTAATTAATGTTTTTAAACAGAACTCATAGAACACATATATCATGTGAACATTTCTTTTTTACATGCAACATAATGTCAGTATATCCTCAAGTACTTGACAGAAAAATGCATAAGTACCATTTCATTGTGGTGAGGCCATCTTTAAAAAATTGTTTGGTTGCCCGGGGCCTCTCCTGACCGACTGGCTAAAAATGGCCTAACTCAAAACTTTTTCAACTTCCAGGAAGCCATTATTTTTTCATGCATTTTTGAAAATTCAGCATAGATTTTTGAAAATTTCTGGGGAAAAGAATTTCTCACCTACCTACTGACCCAATTTTTTCATCCTGAGTCGGGAGAAGGTAAACAAAATTATTTTAAAGTTGGCCAGACGATGTTGATAATGAATAATTAATGTACATGTACTTCTTCAAAATATGTGATCATTGACATATAGAGTAATCATTTCATATAGGTAATGTTCATACAATGATCTGCATTTATTATTTTTTTAAATACTCAATCCTCATGCAAGCAGAGCATGTAAAGTTGCTTTGCCTACAGGGTCATTCTCTAATTTAATTGTTGGGATATGTTTATGAACCACAAAAACAGTAGTTTAATAGTTTACAAGGAATCTTTATTTTTATTATTTCCAGGTTATTCTTACAAGAGTAGTTAAAATGTTATTGAAAACAAAATATGATATTGGTCTCCTTCAGATTAAATGGCTTCCAGAAATGGCAGAAGGAGTCTAAGAACTCCGAAACCAAACCAGAAGTATGCCTCATATGTAACAGGAAAGAAGGTCAAGAGGTCAGGTGATGCAGATACTGAAGGTGAAAGTTCATCAGAAGAAGAAGAAGTGAAAGAAAGTACACAGTCTCCAAAATCATCACCAGACAAATCAGTAAATGGTAAAGTGTCTTGTTCTATAAAGCCATTTTACATTCAAGATGGCAATAACTATGTGTTTTTAGTATTGTACCGCTTCATGAATAGATTCTCTTTTAAATGTTTATTGGAAAGTAGACTAGTCTATCACTTGGATCGCAATTGGGAGAATGAAAAAAATATCTGAATCTTGAACTGAAGACATTTAATAATGTTTGTTTGGAACATATTCTTTATAGAAAGATATCAGGATATGTTTTTTTTTTTATTTTTACAGACTCATAGCTGTTTATGATTCATGAATTTATGTTAATTTATGAAAATTGATTTTCTTGACAGTTGCTACAGCAGAAACAGATGTAAAAAGAAAGAGGGGCAGACCAAGAAAGATTCCTCTATCAGATGATATAAACAGTGGATCCACCAAAGAAAAGCAGTCAGGGAGTGAAGAGAATCTTGGATCCACCCCAGAAGATCATGGTCAAATATCCACTCCTCAAAGGACCCCAAAGAAAAGAGGGAGGAAAAGAAAACTGAAAGCTGATCAGGAGAGGGGGGCATATGACACAGAACAGGGGGATGAGGACAATCTTGAGAAGAGTCGAGTGTGGGAGTCCGTTCAACCTCAGTTACTGACCCTGGTAATTCTGATAATGCTATTGGACCAATTTTATTATATGGTTTTAAAATACCTATTTGTAAGTTTACTTGTTGCTCAGTTGCAAAATGGACTAAATCTTTTGGCTGATGATTATTTATCCAACATCTTTTGTTAAATATTAAGAAGATGACTAATTTTAAAGAGCGTTTGGAAGCTCTTTGTTATTTTATGAATTAAAACATAACACCGAATAGAGATTGATGTCACAAAAATAAACAAAGTCATAAAGCAAATGCTTCACTTCCTTTTCACATAATGGTTATAAATAGACACACAATGGTTATAAATAGACAAAGAATAGAGGTGTGTCCCTTAGGTAAAAATAGAATATTTTTTACAGGTGAATATCTTAAAGGAAGCTGGAATTGACGTGCTACTTATAACAAACTGGCTGAGGGGGTACACCTTCCAGTATAACGGCTCAGAGAAAGGGGTCAAGTTCCTCGAGGAGAGGGTTGGCTTCACCGAGGAGTTTCTCAATCAAGTCTTAAACAACAGGGGTGAGGACAGATTCCAAGTATCATCATATTAAGGATTTTTATTCAATGAGCATACACTATATAGAGTTTCCAGCTGAATAACTATTTTCAGGTTTTTAATAAATGTAACTATTTCTAATTTCCTTGCTGTAAAATTGAAAACTTTTATCTGTACTCGTATATATTATTCAATACATACATGTATGTTTTCTTTTTTAGGTTATTTTAATATAATATATATTATCTTTAGATAAGATAAAATATTTGAAATTTTGAGGTATATATAGATTTTTTAGTACAATCTTTTCTTTGGTGTGTAGGTGAGATGTTGAAAGATTCTCAGAAGGGAGAGCACTCCAAGTTCATCTGGAAGATTGTAGAAAAACAGCTACAAAGCTTGGTAGGATGTGTTTTACTTACGAATTGGTATATAGGAGGTGCACAATAATTTTAAATAGCCTGTAATAATTTTCACTCAACACTTTAGTCAGTTACAATGGTAAAACACGTTTTTTGCCTTTTGATGAAAACATTAAGTACCAACCCAGCAGTCTACAATGACAGCATTGAAACTTCTAGAGATCATAGATTGTAATGTTATGTGTACACCTATCATGTTATGCATTAGAAATATCTTTAATAGATGTTTGATGAATTATTTTGATGAATTATTTTTGAAATATAACTAGGGAGAAGGCTGAAAAAAGGCTGTGAGACAGTGCCTGCTACCCAGTCCCATTTACTTTCTGGAAAAAAAAATTTTGTTTCACCTTTAAAAATAAAATTCTGAAATTCCCCCATAGGTGTCTGATCTGTCCTCTGTTGGTGTGGAGAGCCTTGTTCTTTCCTCTGTGATGGGGCTGGAGGATTTCGGATTCACTGGGTCTACTAAAGGGCTTCAGTTCCTAGGGGACAGAACGGAGCTGAAGAATCTCTTTGTGGCTTACTGTTCAGGTATGACTGATATTCAAGTTTGTAAGGCTTTTCAGGCACTGATTAATAGCATAAATTTACATTAATATGGCAATTTTGTATAGGTAAGATATGATGAAATTCAAGTGGATGATTTGCTACAGATGTATTTTTATAGTGATGGGGGTGTCCGTCCGTCCGTTATGCTTTGGGATACACATCTCTTATCCATAACTCCTCTTATACCACTCTATAAAATTTAGTGAGACATAGTGCCATTGTACACCTCCTACTTAACTTTTTGATTGGACACATATTTTGGGTTTCCAATAGAACATAGACACTGCCATTTTTTTTCTATAATATTGAGCTTTTAGGAGTATCCATCTCTCATCAGTAACTCCTCCTATACCACTGAACAAAATTTAATGATACTTCACAGAATCTGTATTAAATTACATAGTGCTATTGTGCACCTCCTATTCTACTTTTTGATCGGAAACTTACTTCGGGTCTCCCATAGCAAAACATGGACTTTGCCATTATAAACATATGGGAGGTGGGGAGTATCATTTTGTGAGCTCAGTGCTCACAGTACCTCTAGTTATATACAGTTGAACTATATCTCGAACCACAGTATCTTGAATAACATGGATAAGCCAATGTGATCTGGAAGTTCAAACCACATTTCTTTTAGATAATTTACCCTCAATATTTCAAACCCTAGGATACCTTAAAGTTTCTTCTTGGTCCCATTGTGTTCAAGATAATGAGGTTTTACTGTATTTGTGAAGTTGGGGGGGGGGGGTATTTGTTGTTAATGGAATCACTGTGTCCATTCTTCTGTATGTAAATGCAAAGTGACGGCCAGCATTTAGATCAGTGCATGATTGTTTTGAAAGGATATCTAAACCAAACTTGCAGATATGATGCATCTTTGAATACTAGTAAGTATAATGCATCTGACCTACATTACATGCTTGACTGACCCTGGTTAAGAACAGCATTTAGGGCTGTTTTTTGTATTTCATAAAAGATATACAAACAGAGCATAAACATTATGCAGGTAATAACACATGTATAATTGTCCAAGGCCAGTCAGCTTCAAGATTTGGAGGCTGGATTTGATATACCAGTATATTTTATGCTTGAATGATCCTGTTTATGGACAATGTTTTGGCAGTTTCCAGCTTATCACATGTAATGTACAAACCAAACCTGCACACAACATCGTTTTATATGGGTTTTTTTTTTCCTGATATGTACATTGGATGCTGCATCTGAACTACATTTTACCATGTTTACACCTTAGGGACAAAGGAGAATATCAGAATTTAGCTAGTTCCCATCTTATCATTTCCTGTATACAGTGAAAACTAGCTGCAGTAATGTAGCCCTCTCCGATTTTTTTTTAATCTGATATTTTTAGGAGAAAAAAAATCGGAGAGGGCTACATTATTGCAGATAAGTGAAAACTTAAGTGTGTCTATGGATATTTTTTTTATGCAGTACTTATAAGATACCATTTCTGAGATGGGTATCAACTCACTTGTGTGGACATGATCCATTGCAACAAATATTGAGTTCTTGGCCTGAATATGGTCATATAAACACACACTTTCATGCAGTACATGTACCTTTCCTTTTGAGGCAAATATACTATCATAGAATCATAGACTGACTCATACTGAACATTATAAACCAACATTTGTTAATCATGGCCGGAGGAACTGGGAGGAATGCCACCCCCCCCCCCCCCCCCCCCCCCAAATAATTTTGATGATAGAAAACATAGCTACTATATGCTTGTGCCCCCTCAATAATAACATTTGTTTGAGGACATTTCTGCACAGAATTTCGTCAAACATTGCAGATATTTAGGACACAATGTGTAGATGTCAAATTGCCATGAAATTCCGATTCCATTATTTTTGCCCCAAGAGTTTTGCCTATTATTGAAGAAACTTTCCAGCTAGGTAATAAGGAAATCCACTGGAATCAGCTTTTGTAATGAATTTTATGTGAAATATTTTATGACCTTAAATGACCCCTATTGATTTTGAGATCAAAATATTAATGATTTAACACACACACACACACACACACACACACAGACAAAATCTTGGATAGTTCTCACCCCCCCTTTCAAACTGGTGCTTTGCCTTAAATAATTTCATAAGTACAGTATATAAAAAAATTCATATGACTACATCATAATTTTGTTTCCATCAATTATTTAAATGTGTAAATTGTCATGTGTTGGACATGGACTTACACTCATTAACAAATCGAAATCACTGAGGAATTTAAATAACAGTTTGTCAGCATAACTCCTGCACTGAATTTCCTGAAACTTTGTAGGTATTTCAGACAAAATGTATAGATTTGTATATTACCAAGAAATTTTGATTCCATTATTTATCTAGAAACTTCAGCCCAATTAAATTAATTTTGTAACATACAAAGATTTGAATGTCCTTATATGCAAGAAGTTTTGATGTGATGATTTTTTACAAGTAATGCCCCTTTTTGAATTATACTGTGTATTTAAAATGCACTGTGCTATTCGTTACGTGTTGCATTGTCGAGTTTTGGGGGAGCATGGTGTATGTGAGCTTGCTCACTTTTTCTTTCATTTTATTTGTTATATTTCAGATCAAGAAATCCCAAATGCCAAATTCCAGCAGAAGTCAGTTTTTATGGACTGGTACCAGTGTTTTGGAGGAGAGCCATATGAAGAGGAGTTCTATGAGTCTCAGAATCAGGAATCCCCCAAGAAGGCCAAGAGGAAGAAAATGGAGACACCCCTTGTGATCACCCTAGAGCTGGAGGAAAATCCAGTTTGTCCTGTTTGCTTTAAAAAATTCCAAGGTGTCCAGGTGCTGAAAAAACATTATCTTTCTCATCTTAAGGACGAGGAGTTTGATTGTGAGATTGGTCATCAGACTTTCCATGTGAACCTTCAATTAAATCAACACCAAATAGAAGCTCATGGTGATGAATCTGCTAAAGAGATGGAAACAGAAATTGCAAGTGGAAGCATGGTTGCTGAAAACAAAAGTGAAGATGTGAAAAATGGTGGGTTGGAACTCCGTGCTGTCACAGATAATGACTTTCTGGCTGATGTGCAGGGTATAGCTTTCGAGAATAGTACACAGGTAGATGAATCAGATTTACCATATGAATTAGAAAACAGAGGTGAAGTGAAGAATGACATAGAAGGAGAAGATAATATTGAACAGACAATTGAAAATCTAAAGGATATTGCTGAGAGCAATGAAGATGTCAAGAAAGAAAAGGTTGAAGACAGTGAAGATGATGGTGAAGACATCAGAGAGGATATGAAGGATGGTAGAATTAAATGTCTGTTATGTGATAAAACCATGAAAAATGAACTCATGTTTCAAAAACATGTTGAACATCACAATGCAAGAAAAGATGTGGAATGTAAAGTTGACGGATGTGAAAAGAAGTTTAAAAGAGCTTGGGATATGGAGTACCACATGGTCACCATCCATGGCTATGTTAAAATAGCAGCAGGGAATATTGTACGACCAGAGGATGTTCCACCTGGGACAAAGCTGAAGAAAGTCAAAAGGAAGAGAAGGAAAGGTGATCCAGAATCAGAAGAGGAAGAGGAGCCATTTAATCCAATTAAAGCACTGAGAGGAACGGAATGTCCCGACTGTCATATGAAGTTTAAAACCCTGGCCATTCTGAAGAGACACTATGAGATACACATAGGGGAGAAGTCTTTCATTTGTGAAGTCTGTTCTAAAAACTTTCTTAGAAAGTATGACATGCATATTCATCAGATGAAATGTCATGGATACAAAAGAATAGGGAAAGGGAGGGTTGGACCTCCAGAAAATGAAAATAAGCCTGATCAGTTTGATGTGTCATTGTTTGGAGATAGAACTCATTCTTCAGGAAAGAGGAAAACACCACTACACTGTGACTATTGTGATGTTGTGTCTCTGAATTTGACTAAGAAAATCGCACATTTAGAGGAATGTCACTCGCAAGAAAATCCCTTCAAATGTCCAGAGTGTGAGTTGAAATTCCCACTGAAGAGGAAAATGAAAGTTCATTGGTATACCAAGCATGCAGAAAAGAAACACAAGTGCAGTCAATGTGATAAGACATTCCTCTTTAAGTTCCATTTGAGAGACCATGAACAAATGTTTCACAATGAAAATGGATTCTTGTGTACCCTGTGTGGAAAAAGTTTCCATCTTCTTAGGTACCTGAAAAAACATGAGCAGAGGCATGAGGAAGATTTGGCTTATGGTATAGATCCAAATGCACCCAAAGTTTATGAATGCCAATACTGTAATCAAGTGTTAAATGGAATTTCTGCTTACCAGAATCACATGAAACAGCACCCTGATGTGGAGGATCGAAAATTCGAGTGCGATGTCTGCCACAAGAGATTCTTCCAACAGGGTCATTTGAAGCGCCATATGTATGTCCATGTAATGGACCGAAACTATGACTGCCAGTACTGTGATAAGAAATACAAGGATCCAGAAACTCTAAAAAAGCACCTCATTGCTTTCCACAATGTAAAGGAGATGAAACGAAAGACATACAGATGTGAAGAGTGTGATAAAGGTTTCTTAAGCATGGGCCACTTAAGTCGTCACATGTTGGGGCACACAGGAGAAAAGCCATTCTCCTGTGACATTTGTGGAAAGAGGTTCACAGAAAAGGCAGGAAAAATTAACCACGAGAGGATCCACAGTGGAGAGAGGCCGTTTGTTTGCAAGGTCTGTGGGAGAGCTTTTGTTCAGGCCACGCATCTCCGTCGCCACATGTTCCTCCATTCACAAGTCCGTAATTTCGTGTGTGGAATTTGCAAGAAAAGGTACTACCAAAACGAGGACCTGAAGCGCCATATGCTTACGCATTTAAATAAGAAATCTTTTAAGTGTAACATGTGTGACAAGTCGTACTATCAGTTAAGTAGCTTGAATCAGCACATGCGCTGTCATACAGGCAAAAGGCCTTTCCAATGCAGCGTTTGCAAAGCTTGTTTCTCCCAGAAGATTGCTATGATTGTGCACATGCGCAAACATACTGGTGAAAAGCCTTTCAAGTGCGAGACTTGTGGGAAATGTTTTATTAGCAAACGAATGTGTAAAGAGCACATGGCAACTCATGAGCAGAAATATATTGCCTTTACATGCTTCAAATGCGAAATGGAATTTCCGAGTGAAAATGAGCTTAAGGACCACGTGTCTGTTGCACACCCTACAGAGAAAATGGAGGAGGTGGTAAAAGTAGTAGTGACAGAAAATTCGGCATTGAAAGTAGAAAATGCTCTTGAACCTGAAAAAGAGGACGAAGATGAAGACGGTGTCTTGAATACTTGTGACATTTGTATGATGAGTTTTCCGGATGTTGAAGCTTTGGAGAAACACACAGTGGAAGACCATAAAAGTGAGAACGAAAATGTGTGCGAACTTTGTCTTGGCACGTACGAAAATCAGGAACAGTTTGCGGATCATTTGGTAAAAGAGCACGGACTTATTGAGATTGAAGATGGGTATTTCGTTCAACTTCAGGCCGTACCAGTGGAGGAAATATCCACTGACAGTCCATCTAAGTATTTGAACACAAAACACATCACTGAGGATGAAATTCACGCGGAGATCGATGGAAAACATATTATTATTCAGAATGTTGGTGGACTCATGAACAGTAATCAAAATGCATTGAATCAACATGTAGTGAGTACACCAATAGTCTCACCTTCCAAGAAAAGCAGCAATACTCAACTTACTCCGAAGAAGATGACAACAATTCAAGAGAAAGATGGATCCATTCTACACATTGTTTCTCCATCATATGAGATTCCCGCAACACAGCCCGATGGTCCCGTTATTGCTGAATATCCTTCACATATTGAGAACGCAACAGAACTCCGCCTGATTGACGCCTCACAAGTAGTTGACCCAAATCCCACAGGACAAGTTATTATAGCAACCGCAGATGGCGGTAAAACATATTTCACGTTGCCACCTGGAACGCAGACGACAGACAGCATTCCCATAGAAGCTACTTCAGACGACATTTTGCAACAGATTACGGAAGAAGTCATTTCCACTCAGGACTTCCAGACAGAGGCGGGCAGCAGCGAAAACGTAGAAACAACGCTGTCCGAAATCGCATTTGATCAAGATGGCGGTATTTCTGAATCAACAGCGGCGAACCTGGCAGCTATGTACGGTACAGATCGTATCATCTACCAAGAAGAGAGGAATGATGGGACAGAGGTTGTCCATGTGTATGCAGTGGTTTCCGATACTTGATACTTTTCAAACCAAAAATGTGTCTCCCCACTCAGACAAGCATCCATCCGACCCCGGTTTATGCACCCTGTACTTATCATTATATGTATTCAATTGCATAAACGTTCTTTATATTTTGTATTGTTTTTTTTTATGTCTGATTGATTGCTTCGAGATTAAAGGAATAATAAGCGATAATTTTCTATAGGAAATTTTTTGCACTGAATTTATTGGGGGGTGAGGAGTTTGTGTTCACTTTTTTGTACGTAAGTGGATCGAGAATACAGTAAGATCACTAGTTTTCCTCTGCACCTTAGATATAAATGTACAATCTATATGAAAAAATGAATCTTGCGCTGTTCTTGCCAACGAATTTTGTCTCGGCTCCATAGTCAAATTCATCATTCCAATCTTAACCGGTAGTATGCAACAATACATAAAGTCCTATACTTTTGAAGTAATATTGGGGCAGTACAGCCTAGTTTCTAGTAAACACTTAATTGAAAAATTAACACTCTTGCGCATGCAGTAATTGACACCTATTTGTTTTGCTTGGAAAAAATGAAAAGTTTGTTTGTATGTTGTTTAACGTCCCTCTCGAGAATTTTTCACTCATATGGAGACGCCACAACTTGCCGGTGGAGTGCTGCAAATTTTGTCCTATACTCGGCACTTACGGCCATTGAGCAGTGAGGGATCTTTTTCGTGCCAGCACCTACTGCGACACGGGACCTCGATTTATACAGTCTCATCCGAAGGACCGGTCTCCACGTCCCACAGTGGGATTCGAACCCGCGACGTAAGGATCAACTCCTTACTTCGCGACTCTAGAGCAGACGCTCTAACCACTGCGCCACGCAGGCGACTGAAATGTTGGTAAGTGTTCAAGTTTGTTGAGATTCAAACTGAAATAAAGGCAATAACTTAATTCTTATAATATAGAACAAGCAGTATACCAGGCCCAACTGTTTATATATTATTCATTCAGTGTTAGTTCATCAACGTTTAAGTTTTGGGACAGTTTCCTGATCTTGCAGCAGCTAGGGGCCAATGTCAATAGGTTGAAATATTTAGTATAGAAAAAAAGCAAATTAAAAATGATTTTAGAGTTTGAAAATAATTTGTTGAAACAATTCAGTATTTATTTTATTTTTCATTTAAAATGAATCGGAAATTGGCTTGGAAAGATGATTGAGCGTGTTGATTCTCTGTTTTTAAAGAGTAGTATGTCTTCATTAATCCTTCAAAAGAAGAGCTAAACATCTTCATTGTATATATGCTTTAGTAGTATAATATGTACGTCTTAAACTAAACCAAACCTTTGCCCTCTGGATATCTTCCAAAACACTCACACACACATGCACACAGACAGATTTGAGGTTGCAGCATACAAGCGTTGCAATCCGTGCATTAATTTCACGCACTCGAATAAAAGCTGGAATTACAGTCGTGCTTCAAAACAATTTTTGGAATATTTGCATCTCGGAGAACATGATTTTGCAATGAATAGAAGTAATTCATTAAAATACGTTCGACATTTGCTTTTTTTTTTTTATTTAGACAATGTATCTTGTATAAGTATTGTGTATTTCGGTAACTGAAATCAGCTACCTTTGGAATTCCAAGTACGACACCTGACCGCCATCAATATTGATGCTGTATTGTATATTATATGATCTCCCAGATAAGGCTTATTACGATTTATAACTATGTATTCAGAAAATATAAGTTCGGCCCATGGGAATCTAGAGACCAAGTGCAGCTCTGGAAATCTGACAGCTTTGCATCACGTGACCAAGAATAAACAATTGCTGCGGGGAAGAAGAAAGAAGATTAGGTACTGGTAAGTAAGATGGATGATCTTATGTTGAGGCTTGCCTTATTTAATCTAACAATTATAGAATGTATAATAATGTGGATTGACAGGCACTGTTCATAGCGGCTTTGGTAATGTAAATTAATTGTTACCAACCACATTTAAGAGACCACCATGGAGGTCTAAATCTTAAAGGTTTGATCTTTTTTACCTTCAAAGACGCGTGGTGCAAGTCAGACGCTGGTAAAAGTGGATGACTATTCGTCACAAATAAAGACAACACAGTACTGTATATATATCATTTTTCTTTGATTTATCTGTATATACTAGTACATGTATATATAATTATATACTTTTTTGTGTTTTCAAGAATCTGGATGACATACAGTTTAAAAAAAAAAATCCTCGTCGAACTGTTTTGTGATTAGAATTCAACATTCTACAATATATGTGAATTACGTGTAATAGTTTCTTGTGAATTATTATGATTATAATCATTAATTCACAAGAAACTATATAACACGTAATTTACTGATGACAAATTTGTGCTTCCTGCTCTGTGAACACGAATCCGCGTTCCTATTTAGCCACAGACGCTGAGGCCCTGGGATTGATGCTGAACTTGAAAATGATATCGTGAATGTCAACTAAATCAAAGCAGTTTTTAAAAAGTTTTTCAGACATTTTATTGTATAAAATGTACAGAGTATATGTCAAAAGACAAATACTCACAAATTAAATATTAAGTAAGAATTATACATCGGGACAGTTAAACAAAATTTGGTCAACATGGTGACCTATATTGAAAAAAGACCTACAAAATGAGTACATGTATATCAATAAAACTACTAATAAATGTACATATATATGACAATTAAATGATGATTATTTTGAAGATGAGAATAATCAGGTATTTGATAACATACTTAACATATCGTATTGCACAATTTTCGATATATTCTGGGACTATGTATTGAGTTGAGGGCAATAAACATTGTTACAGCAATTGTTTAAACTGCGGACTCGTAGGAAACATGGGAAGTTTGTGTGTGACCGGAAGCCCAGGAATATCGGGATACATCGGGAGTAGAATGGCTTGCCTACAAATAGAATGGTCCTTGTCATTTCAATTTTCGTCAATATTATTAATTGATGTAAAATTGAGCAGTTTATAAAGAAAAGGCACCCGTAATGGTAAATGGTAAAAACATTTCATCCTGGGTACCAGGATAAATATAAACTGATATTTTTCTATTCATACCATAGATGTATCGTAGCCATAGTTTATATATTGGTGTCCCGCTCTTTCACCCTCGGGATCTGCTACAAATCCCTCTACGTATTCCACAAGTTGTCTGTGGCGTACCAAGGCGGGACCCCACACACGAGTTGGTGTACACAGCAATTTGATTTTCTACATGAAGAGAATATAAACTAGATCAGTATAGTGTATAATATAGGCTAAATTCTAGATGATTGTTTTTATTTTTTAATTTCCAACCTAAAATTAAGAGAAAAGGTGTGGAAGACACGTTAGAATCAACGTGGCATCTTGATATGTTTTGTTCAAAATCTGACTGTGCTACATGTGCCGATTTGTGAGTACAGTTTGCGCCAACTTTGCGTTCTATTACATAAGTTTAGCAATAATGCAGTATCATTTGAGTATTATTTCTAGTATACAACAGATTGTAATATTTGAGGACAAAAGCACTGTGGATGTATTACCTCCCACACCCCCTTTGCCTCGTCTTCTTTGTTGATTTTGTATAACATTACAATTGGAATGAATATCACTGAGAAAAAAGACATCAGCCAACCCAGAGCCTCGGACCAATCTGGATACGAATAGGTACCGTATTGGACTGGAGAATAGTCTATCCATGCAAACAGCAATATAACCTGAAAATACATTTTACACACACTAATCACGGTACTAAAATGAACAGCATGTAGGAAGATTTGAATGGCAACCAAAACAAATTTATCTTTGTTTTTCGCTTGCTGCTTTAATATCTTTTGATTCTGGCAACAATATCGAAGGATATCAAAGGAGCTTAAACAAATCCAGGGTTTTAATATGTAGCTTTGGAATATTTGACCATATAATAACAAATGTCCCAAAATCCTTCTTAATTTTCATGGTAAAGATATAAAGCTTCTAAATGTCAGAAGGTAAGTAAAACTGGGAACAAATAGGAATTTGAATGTCATGTGATCTATCAACAACAAAAATTGTCCCATTGGTAATCCGTGTTTAAAAAATGCACTTATTGGATTTTTTTTTCTGAAATTGGCAATCTGCATATACCGATACCCGTATGAAAAACTTACACATATAATAATCGGACTAACAAACATCCAACAAATTTTCCAGCACAAGAAAGGTGGTCTCCCAATCATGATCTCAATATCCTTCAAGTAACGATTGATTCCTTAAAATAAAAAAGACGAAAACTCACTTGTAAAATATCTTCTTTTTTCCTACAAATACTATTAAAACAGATCAATTATAGTGTAGTTTTCATATTTTATTCATATATCTGAATATTAACATTCAAAGAGTGTTGAATAAACTTTAATTTCAGGTTGCGTACCGTATACGTAACTGATGACTAAGATTTCTACAAGACCCACGATGAGGAGGGACCAGGAGGCTACATAATGGTCCATCAATTGTAGGACATACATTCCTCCCTGAATAAAAAAAGTAATGAATCTATGCATGCCTGTAATCTTTTCAAAATTATAATTAAACAATACATTTTATTACATTTTCAACAGTGAAATATTGAATAAAAGTGATATTCTGACACAGTGTGAAAGGATATCAAAATGGTATTCTCACAGTGTGAGAATATCAGAAGTGCGGCAAAACTCTCGATTTTCATTCCCATCACGAAATGTTAAAAAAAAACTCCCTGGCCTGTTATAAGATAGAGTAAATGAACCACCCTGACAGAGACTAAAACTTCCAATGTTTCTTCCAATATGCTGTTAAAAAATCCATGTTTACAACGTTTTTCAATTTCGCAATCGCTTAGCTAATAGCTATGACGTCTCAACCGTTCAATTATGACACCACAGCCTATGACACCGTATTACGAAAAGACAGAGTCAAAGGGAAAATCAAAGAAAATGTAATAAACAGAAAATTCAATGTTTTGTAGATGAATATGGAATTTATTTCACTCGTGAGACAGGATTTTTTTTTTTATATTTTCACCCTGCTTCGCACTCGTGAAAAATATAAAAAATAAATCCTGTCCCACTCGTGAAATAAATTCCATATTCATCTAAAAACATTGAATATCCTCTATGTATTTCATTCAAATGTTTAAGATTGAATATCTGTAAAACATAACAATTAACCCCTGAATAAAAAAATCATTGGTATGTAAACCTTTCGCCTAAAACCTAGGGTCTTTCTGAAAGACAAGGCATAAAATCACTGCTTTTAGCTTGATTCATATATATATATATATATATATATATATATATATATATATATATATATATATATATATATATATATATATTCCTTTGGCGGGGCGATTTGTCAGTGAGCAAATTCATAATGACTGCCGAACCTTGAATCCCTACAGTATTCAAGGTAACTACGTTATGTAGTAACATAGTGCAAATTTATTAAATTAAGCCAAGGAATGACATGTAATGCACATTCTGAATAAGATAAAATATCTAAATATATGAATTACCGGAGTAGTCATTGGCAGTCCCAGGAGAAAGAAGACAAAGGAGATACTGAGGATAACTAAGGTTTTCTTTGGACGTAAGAATGGAAAGTAGTCAATAATTCCGGTTAGAACACTCTCCAACATCGCAAACTGTAAAATAAAAATATTAGTATAGTAATATTTATTGCATTATTTTAAGGAATGTCTAAATATACGTTTATCCATATAGTGCAAAGGATGGAGACAATTTTAATCTGGGCAGTTCGTGCTGAACATTGGGAAAAACTACCTGTCTGTCCCGAGTTTGGGGATGTTGAAATTTCCTGTCTATTTAGTTAGAAAATATACACTAATACACAAATTTTTTTTTATCCCTTTTTAAATCAAGATTAATAAAATTATTGTGTATCCTTTGCGTATATTTATCTGTCTATCCTTAAGACATAAAGAGAATATTTTCTGTCAATCGTTAACTGGTGCGCATGGAGAAGATTTACATGATTGTCTTTTCTTAGTGTGAAAAGCATGGAGAGGATTTACCTGACTGTCAATGCCCTAGTGTATTGAGCATGGAGATTTACCTGATAGTCAATCCCCAGTGTGAAGAGTATGTGGAAGACTGACTGCCAATCGCTAGTGTGATGAATATACATGACGATTTACTTGACCGTCAATCCTTAGTGTGATGACTATGAAGAATATTGACTGCCAATTCCCCAGTGTGATGACTATGAAGATTGACTGTCAATCCCCAATGTGAAGACTATGATGAAGATATACTTGACTGTCAATCCGTAATGTGACCATCAATTAAGAGGTTTGACTGTCAATCCGTAGTGTGATCAGTATAAATAAAATTTTCTTGATTGTCAATCTGTCATGTGGTGTGCATGAAGAAGTTTTACCTGATTAGTACATCCCTAGTGTGATGAATTAGAAGACGTTTTTCTTGATTATTAATCCCTAGTGTGAAGGCCATCAAGAAGATTTACTTTACTGTGTATAATATTTGATTTGAGCATGGAGAAATTTTTCTTGACTCTCTTTCCTTTATGTTAAAAGCATGGAGAAGATGAACTTCACTATATGAAGACAATTTACCTGACTGGGATTTGTAAATGATGAGCCAGGAGAAGTGGAAAAGGTTTACCTTAATGTAATGATCAGTGAGACAACTGACCTGACTGTCAATTCCTAGAGTGATAAGCATGAGAAAGAAGAGAATGGACCAGAGAGTGGGGAGAGGAAGACTAGTTACAGCCGCGGGGTATACCACGAACGCCAGACCTGCACCTGTAAGGGAAATATTAGTATGTAACAAGTTGTGTGTATTTTATCCGTTTTAAGTGGAAACCAAATTCTTAATATACTGTGAAATCACAAATTTTCACGGAGGGGTCAATTTTCGTTGTTTTCTTGGTGAAGAGACTTAAGATTTTTTTTCCTCAAACCACGAAAATTTGACCTCATGAAAATAAATGATTTAAAAGAATTCTCATTTATTTAAGAGACTGCCAAAAATTTGGAGGGGATAAAACCCAGAAATTTTTATATGTTGTGTTAAAGCTACTGCAGCCTTGATTTAAAACAATGACTACATGTATGTAGTGCATACGAAGCAGTACATGTTGGTTATTCTCAACAGTTTTACAAGTATTCAAGTATATGAATTATAATTGTTTACTCTTTACAATATTTCACATAATATATTTAATTTACAAAAATGGCAAGGATATATTTCATACCATTAGTAACCACGTCCTCTACATCCACATTCATATCATACGCCATGTATCCTAGGAAAGCAAAGATGACAAAACCGCCAAAAATACTCGTGACGCAATCTCCTATTGATACTATGATAGAATCCCTGTTATAAAATAAATGAAAATGACAACTCTGGTTAATTTATGAAAATATTCATACCTGGTCATTGAATATCGATGTATATAAAATATGCAGAAATTATTTTAATATGTTGCGTTTTAGATACTCCAAATTCATTGAAATATTCATATCAGATGGAATTATATACCATCTTGTGTCGTTGTATACATACGAGGGGTGATCAAAAAGTTCGAGAACTAATTGAATTACTTCCTTAAAAGAAATAAAATGGGGTTTTAGTGTTCATTATTTTTTGAAGTAGTCCTCTCCTATTTTAATGCACATCTGCCATTGTTTTTGATCACCCCTCGTATACACGTAGAAAAATTATTCTCATATGAAGTAATGTTTTAAGGAAAATCAACAGATCAAAGTTATTGTTGAAATTATAGAACGTTTTATTCAATGGGCAAAATTGATTGCAATAGTGTATATACAATACTAGCCATCTTTCAAAACGAATGCATTTTTGACACTTGACATCTCACTGCATGGTAATAGAGATCGGTACTCGTAACTGTCAACTCATACTAGGCTACTCAGTAAGTCACAATATACACATTAGTAAAAAGATGTAATTTTTTCATTCCATTTTAATAGGATTTATTCAAAATGATTTTAGGCTATATCAAAGGCAAGAAGATATATAATGGACACAATGGGTATTCTATCCCTTCCCCAATGTCAAACAATTACAAAAAAAAAAACCAACTTAAAATTCGGTCAAATGTATAATTATTTCCCACTCCTCCCCTTTCCATTTTTACTGTCCTCTTCACCTAAAAAGAATTCCTGCTTTTACAAAAATATTTAATTCAACTTCAGATTGAAAATAGGCCTGTGTGTAATCCGGGCTAGGGATGTCAACGAATATTCGAACATTCGAATATTCATTCGATGAGTTAATATTCGAATATGAATTTAAGATTCGAATATTTGGTGTTTTTCAGATTTCACAAAAAAGATAATAAATTCCAATTAAAACTGTGCTGGAATTATCCCTGTTTTATTTACTAGAGATCCCCTGATTTTTTTTCACTACTTTCTTATCTTATAGAACTTCTAAATTATTTCATTTTGAGTAAGGTGTAAAAGAAATAAACAAGAATTATTAATGTATAATGCAAAAACTATTTTCAATAGTTTAATATGATCGGAACTAGAATCGAGGACAACGAAATGGAACCCTTCTTGAATGTCTAAGAGACGCGTGAAGAATGTACTTATGAAATAAATTTTATTGATCATTGAATCACATCTTTGATAAAATCATCCTGTAATGTTGTAAATGGCTCAATTTCAGAATAATGAATCAATTACTTGATTATCTCGGGTCGGTTGAATATATTCTTGAATTTTAAAATCATTATCGGGAAGTTAATGACATAGGAAAATTGTCTATGGAAGTGTTTGTTCATATTTTCATAACATTGTATCAAAGATTTTATTATACGACAATCTTGTCCCTAATTAGACGACTGGTTCATCAGTTTGAGCTTGTATAGATATCATTTGTTAAAATTATATTTTGATTGTATACACTTAAATCAATTATTTGTTATAAACATTGAAAAATAACAAATGTATAATACCTTATTATAGACCTACAAATTAAAGTCTACACACAATTTTACTTTCAAATACCGACGCAAAAACCTGCCATGAGAGTATGATGATGTACATTTCAAATAAACTACATTTTATTTATTTTATCGAATATTCGAATATATTCGAATACTTTCACTGAATATTCGAATATGAATTATTGACAAAATTGACATCCCTAGTAATCCCCGTTAGAGATGAAGTGCGCTCTAATTGGTAATCAAATTACTGAAAGTCTTCATCGAATGAGAAGTACAGATGCTTACCTGAACACATTGTTGTGGAATCGATTGTAGCTAGCCAAAGCAATCAAGCCTCCCCACCCAGGCCCCATAGAGTAAAATATCTGAACAGCTGCATCTCGCCACACCTATGGGATGGATTTCAATAGTCAATAAATCGATTGACTTTATGCAATATAGCTCATCAGATAAAAGTACATGTTCTGAATCAATTCCTCACATTAAAAACATTTTTTAAATACATATTTATCGTGTGTGTTAAGTTTTAAGAAGACTCATTTACCTTTGCATCTAGCAGGCGTTCAAAATTTGGCACAATATAAAAATAGATCCCATTCCCAGCCCCATCCAGGGTAATTCCACGGAAAAATAATATAAATAGCACTATATACGGGAAGATTGCTGTTACATATACAACCTGGAATGAATAAAACATTTAATTATCAATTATCCTAATTTGTGACACAAATAATAAAATTTATTTCTAGCTAAGACATGTCAACAAAAATTAATTATTTTAGATATACCATATACCTGTATCTTATTAGTTATTCAATGAACACCATGTAAGTTCCAAATTTTAAAGCCAAGAAATTCAAATACATGTAGCCTACTTTACAATGATGTATAAGAAACAGAAGGAGTCCTAGTTTTCAGTGGAATATTACACACCTTTCCTGTAGTTTTGATTCCCTTCAGAAGACACAGAAAGCATAATATCCAGGCAAACAACAAACCAAGGGCTAGCTCGTATTTAGGTTCCCCTATATTGTCTATACCACTGCTGATACTCAAGAACTTGTTGCTGAAAGACACTAATTCATATGAAGCGTTTTCTTTATAGGTTGATAATCTCTCACCAATATGAACAGAGCAACACTACCTCCAGCTCCAATTTTAATTCAATTTTAAGTATCATAATGATTATTTGTACATATACAATGTACTGTACATGTATTCTAATATTTATTACTATTACAACTTCTGTTTTAAAAAGCTGATGAACAACCGTTGGTAGAATACATGATGAAAGTTAATATTGAGACTTCTTTCAGGGTAAATATATGTAAATAATTTTACACCTTACGAAGATTCGAACACCAAAACGAGAGAAAGTTTCTTTAAGCCTATTGAACAATGTGTTAAAAGTGTGTTTGTTTAAAAAAACACTTTGTTTAACAAAGCTACACTAAAACTTCACAGGTTCTATTTCTATATGATATTTAAAACTTATTCTTAGAAAACAACCTTACTTCCAGTATTCCTCTGTGGGAGATATGCGTCTTCTTCCGGTTACATTTCTGAAAATAGTTTCATTCCAGATTCCTTTGAAGACGTTCTGAGAATAACATGTCCCGTTTGGAAATTTTTGTTCATTTCGTAAGCAAATAACTGTTGGTAATTTCAAACTACAATCTGAAACCACAGAATATACCTTGTTAAAAATATATATGTAAATCATTATATAAAAATATCAAAAATAAATATTTTTATTTACCGTCAATATCACGTCATAAATATCCTTTTCTTAAGAAAAAATAGCATCTTTAGAGCAAAGACACCCAAATTAAAACTTCAACTTCATGAGGATCGAATTGAAAAAAAAAATTAAAATATTTTAACCTTTTGTGTTCCATTTGTTATCACAGGTGCTCCAAGGGAGATCACTGGTGAAGGAAGAGAAGAGATAGAGCACCGCCCACGTAATTAATACGTTGTAATAAATACTGGTTAGTCCAGACATGATAAGCATAGCTATACCTAGACCTGCAACACAAAATGTAATGATCGTGTATTGTTTTTCATTTAAATAAAACTAGTAACTTCGTATAACGTTTCATTACAAGTGCATAATTTTGATAACACCAAGAAAAAAAATCTGAATGAAAGGCTAATTGCACTTTGTTTCCTTTCTGTACATGTTGATTTAACATCGTTTTCATTATTTAGACTTGTGTTTTATCTTATCCTGATATCATATTCGATGTGTTTCACTTTGGTATCCAAAGTTTTGCTTTCATATCATACATGTTTTGCTATCCTTTTTGTAGGTTATTAACAGATTTGATTATAAAATAACCAAACAAATGAGAAATGTCATACACTAGAGGTAAGATGTAAACAGGAAATGAGAAATTGTTTCACTTAAAGCAATTTTAAAATACACTGTACATGTTAAATTCATTCTGTATCTGTACCTTTGAATAAGGGAGCAAACTCCCAGCAGGTTGTTGGCCCGCGACTACAGAACTGTCCTAAAGCTGCCTCCAGATAAAAGAGTGGAATACCAACTAAAAACATCATGATAATAAAAGGTAACAAAAAAGCCCCTCCTCCGTTTCTATAACAGAGGTATGGAAATCTCCAGATGTTCCCCAAACCCACACAGTACCCCAACATGGACAACAGGAAGTCCAGCCTCCCGGTCCAGTTACCACGCTCTTCGTTCTCGTCAACACCGAAAATCTGGCGTCTGTCCGGAGGTTTTCTTTCCTCGGGAGAAGCCTCATTTTCGTTGTTGACGTCTTCATTAGAGGTTCTGTTGTCTCGTTTTGAATTCTTTTTGCTGCTATCATCTTTGATATTATTGACATTATTTTGTGGAATAGACGTCTGTAAAAAAAATATTTCACCTCAGGTTTATAGCTTGAATCACGTTAAATTTTGCTAAGCGCACGCTTGAAATTGCAATGTAAAATTTGCTTAATTGCACAGTAAATCCTCCTGTATTTTACAATGTCAAGCTTACCACGGTGTCATTTAATTCTTGTACCTTTTCTTTATTTGTACAGTTGGTAAAAAGAAAGCAAGAAAATAGCTAGTATGCAATGTAGGAAATTTGCCTCTAGACCGAATTTTGATTTAAATCTGTTCAGTTTATAATTCTTGAAATTCATTATTTAATTAATATTCATTTCATAAAGAAAGCAATTCAATTTTAAAGGAGAGCGATTCAAGAGAATTATTACTAACAACGTATTACTTCTATTTCGTATCACTATTTTGATTCTTACCTGAGAAGAATCTAAGGTTGAATTAATAATGAAGACCCCTTTATCTACAGGGCTCAGAAACACATGAGGAGATTCTGGCTGACCCTGTTCCTGTACAGGGGCCGTAAGGCGACTGTCGTCTGGTGCCGAATAAGAAATATCTCGAGGACGAGTTGGTGTTGGATAAGGTAGTCTTTCGACTAAAGGCTATATACAAAAAAAATCATTCAACTAGACTAAGTAAATACCAAGGAAAATGTCAAATTATTTAAATTTCTTTTAAAGATTTCAAATTTTAGAAACTTCCATTTTTTGGTGTCTTACCACAGGATCCTTGGAAAGGTCTTTTATGACGTATACCCCACGGTCAACATGGTTAAGGAACTGTTTTGGAGACTCCGGTGTCAAAGGAGAGCTAGACTGTTTGGGACCAGGTTCAAACTCACTATAGGACGGTATTGTTGTGGTAGATAGGTTGAAGCTCTGATCATTTGCTCTCGTTTTCTGATAGGGAATTGTTAAAACATAGATGAAAATGACGCTATAACAGTTTTCCAGCGGTGCACCCACAAGCCCTTCGATTAGCTTTGTTTTTGTTTTGTTTTATAATTTCAAGCACAGTTATGTACGCATATACCAAATTATATTTTCAGTGGATGAGAAAAGAATATGTAATATTTTTGAATATGTTCATAAGGGAAGTAACACAGGAAGTAAGTATGTATATGGTACCTTTATCGGATCTGGAATACCTATAAGTATCTATTTAATCAAGTTTCCCTGCACATTGGAAAGCTTATAAATTATCTGAATCTGCATGATGTTACATGTAACATTCAACAGAGAAAGGCAGGTTTTGTAAAGTAGAATGGACATGCAGCAATAAGCCCTGTGTCATGACTGTACTCAATAATGGTATATGCTTTTCTTTGAAAATCTCTTCTTCACCATGGTTACCACTGGAGACTAGAACTGTTTGTCTAATTATTTGCGTGTCTGGGGGCAGTTAAGCATTTTGTTACGTTGAAATAAGGAAGATTTCTTAGCACCTGCTAAGTGCAGTTTACCTCTGTGCAAATTAAAGTAGATAAAATAATGCTTTTAATCCATTTTCAATTATGAATCATAATTCAAATATAAATTATGATTGATAATTTAAATTTATCTATCAAAGAAGTATAAAATTCTCAAACAATTCATAAATACAAAAATCAATTTGTTTCGTAAACAAGTTTCAAATTTCGATGTGTGGGTATTTAAAATTAACTACAATGTAAAACTTCCTGGGTTTACCTGGTATTCAATGTGTGTGGTACCAAATTCCTCTGATTCATAGTTTTTATTTTTTTTTTAATTATATTTTTTTTATCTATGTTTTCTATTCAGGGAATAGTGTTTTTCTTTTTGATTTCGTGCACATTTTTCATAGCCATTGCTTTTCATTTTCAACGAAAAAACCTCGTATGAGAAAATACACTTAATCAAAAAAAAAAAAAAAAAAAAAAAAAAACAATAAACAAACAAACAAAAACAAAAACAAACAAACAAAACAAAACAAACAAACTTTCATTATGAAGAATGAAACTACATCGTAACGGCGAGTTCACAAATTTAATAATCTTGCAAGAATGTGTTACCTAAATTTAACAAAAAATGCACACAATAACGGTTCAGTTATGCAAGAAACCGTTTTTCCTTAAGTTTTTAATCAATAATAGCTAGGGAACGTCACTAAAATGCACGAAGGCGTAAATAAATCCAAGCCATTTTTTAACAGAAAAGATTTAAGGCAACTTACATGATTCATTGCGTTCCGAGGTTTTCCTCAAAAGGTATTTTTACATCCTTGTTCAACGATACATCTATTATGGTCATTCTACAATCAAATAAATGTGATAATCATTGTTGTAAGGGTGTCACGACATCACATTAAACAGTGCAGAGCATGTCAAACACATATTGTGACCTTATCTTCTGGACTTATTGACAGAACACCTCGATGTTTGCCATAGGTAATATGTAACATGACTGAGAAAACTTGGAGACTCTATGATAAACTGTTTTTATTGACAGATTATGGGAACATTAATTGACTCATCTTGTGTCTTATCGGGTCGCCGACGTCTTTAACCTCAATTCTGTCTCTTTAAACACTTCAAATTCCATCTAGATCACAAGTGCCTTTAGTATAGGGTATTCTGCATACGAATTTCTGAATCGTCCCCAATATTTTAAAATCCATTTTATTGGCATTCTTCACGCCTGAGTTCAGAGTCAAGCTTATCTCGTTAAATGCGCCCTTTCAATTTTTTTTTTCTTTTCGTGTAAACACAATTTTTAAAACTTGTTTTTTGAAGGTGCAAATATACACACACGCTTGTAAATGTATATAATTGAAAGATTAAACATAAATAGAAATCAATTCATATACACAATTTATTGAATTACAGGGAAATTCTTTTTATTAAACAACATGGGTACTCCATATACTTGTTAATATTCAGAATCGATTTTCAATACTGCATTGCACCTCTTTATGTCTCAATATAATTTGTAATAACTTGGAATAATCATCTATATCTAGCAAACATGATCATCCCTATTTATAATTCTACTGCAAGCCACCTAATAAACAAACAGATACACATACGTTTCACCTGTATAATTATCATGATCAAAGGATTTGCCGTCTGAACTGTAAAGTAACAATTTTTTTTTCTCAATATAATTATGTATCTCTTTGATGTTCAGATATTGTCTTACCTTTAATCCTCGCATTATGATAATTAACATTCGTCATATTTCTTCCTTGTCCATACACAACAATAGGCCGACCACGCTGACAGTTGTACCATGCCAGTTTGTTGTCGTCACGTGATCATCGATTTCCTGTAAAAGCAGACGGTATTTTCAACCATACTTTTTTTCAGGGAATTAATCATGTAACGATTTAAATAAATCTTTAATGACTGTACCTGTGTACATACATTGATCGACTTGTTCACATTAATTGTTTCAGATTTAAAAAGTTATAAATTCCCAAGTAATCTCTTTCGGGTCTTTCTATACCCGTTGAACCTAGATAATCAATAATCCATTGCCAAACAAAGGTCCCGAATGTTTCTAAAGATCTATCAATTTAACCGATAATTATGCATTTCGTCAATGTTACTTTCTCATAGTAAATTAAGTTCTTGCAGATAGAGTCTGCAGTAAGTTAATTTAAGATTAAATCTGTTCCCAGCAACGGAGGTTACTGAAGTTATAAGTTCGTCAAAATTGAATATATAATATATTGTCTCTACAATTTTACTTACAGTTGTTAACAGCTTAAAAATATTTCAAGAAAGAAAGGATACATTTTCAAATTTTAGTTCAGTTTAAAAAAAAAAAAAACTTGCCCAGGGCCACAGTGGCTACATGAGCCATTGAAAAACTGTAAATGTTCATTTGTCTTTCAAGGATGAAAAAGTACATAAGAATTTTTATATACAATGGAATATTATCCTGTGATTCATGTAGTTTCATGAAAGAATATGAAAGATTTAATTATACTAATACCTATGATTGAAAACAAATTTTAAAACAGATTATCTGCTATGTCAAAACATGAAAATCTTAATCTGAATCATTTAGGAAATCAAAATGAAAAAGATAAATCAAGATATAAAATAGAGGTACTCTCAGAACTGAGTTCACCCAATGATACCCCCCGCTCAAATATGAGTATAATAGCCAAGTCCATTTTTTCTTATGGAAAACCCAAAATATCTGTTCGCTCGGAACGAAAAATAGGAGATGCACAATGGCACAATATAAAACAAGATTTGTTTGTGAAACACTGATGCCCATCTATGGCAACTAAATAGCAAAGGTTAATTTTTTCAAATGCAAATTAAATATGTTGGTACACAAAGTAAGGTTTTGTCTCGAGGAATATACATGTACCTGTGAATTATGAAAGCCCTGGCAGCAACCATTCAAAAGATATGGAAAAGGTTAAAGTTTTTCAAAAGTAAGTCAAACATCAAGGTCAAATTTAATGGTGCTCAAGGAAAGGCCTTCTCACAAGAAATACACATATGAAATATGAAAGCCCTAGAACCAACCGTTCAAAAGTTATGGCCAAGGTTAAAGTTTTACAAAAGGAGATCAAACTCCAAGGTCAAAGGGTGAAAGTTGTTGGTATCCGAAGTAAGGTCTTGTCACAAGGATTGTGTATGCAAAGTATGAAATCCCTAGCACCAACTGTTCAAAAGTTAGGGCCAAGGTTAAAGTTGGGTAAAATTTTGCAAAACTGCATGGGCCAAACTCCAAGATAAGGTTAAAAGGTCAAATATGATGGTACCCAAAGAAAGGTCTTGTCAAAAGGAATACACATGTGAAATATGAAAGCCATAGCTCCAACCAATCAAAAGTTATGGGCAAGGTTAAAGTTTTTGCGTACAAACTGACAGACAGACGGACGGTCAGGACAAAAACTATATGCCCCCGAATCTTCGATTACAGGGGCATAAAAAGATTCTGTGAAAGTCTCAGTGGCATAGGAGGAGATGCGGATGAGTGATGAGTACCGCCCCCCCCCCCCCAATATTATGGAAAGAATGGCAGTGTCCATGTTTTGCTATGGGTAACCCCAAATATATGTAAGATCGAAACGAAAATTACGGGGTGCACAATATGTAATAAGGATTCTGTGAAAGTATCATTAAATTTAATTCAGTGGTATAGGAGGAGTTGCAAATAAGAGATGTGTGCCGTCAAGTGTTACGGACATACAGATTGAAGGACGCGTACGGACAGACACCCCTATCACTTTATACCTCCGTTTTTCAAGCGGGTATAAAAAGGATACTTTTCACGTACATGATTGTGCACTCTTGATCAAATCTATAATAAAAAGCAGTTGATGTCATTTGGTGTAAGGTATATATATATATATATATATATATATATATATATATATATATATATATATATATATATATATATATATATATATATATATATATATATATGGATCAATTCAAACCCGTGAGTCTTGGAATAGCGAAAAAATCATATCTATCAAAGTAGTTTTAGCACATTTCTCAAAAGTACCCTGAACATACTGAATGAGTTTCCTAAACATTGAAGAAATGATTGTTTAATTAAGTGTATAAGCATATCTAAGGAAATTAATGAAACAGAATTATTCGTCATTTGTCTATCAGATATAATGTGCAGATAATGGATACAAAAGAAGTCATATTTCTTCAACAAAAACAAAGTCCAACAAGCATGGGAATTCCATTTATTCCTCAGTGTAACACTATTATGAGTCATGCAATGAATTTAAAAAAGCCTATGAGCCTTAGCGATTAACTCAGTGTAATAAAGAAACATTTTTCTTAGACACATTGTATGTTTTATTCTGACTTGCTTTTTGTAAAACATGAGAACCCTTACCTTCCCTTGGTCCCAAGGGCAATAATTAAGATAAATTTCGATTTACACTTCATGAGGATATTTTCAAAATATTTCTATTATTTAAGTTTTGTTCTTGAGACATTTTTAAATTTCCTTTAAAATAAAATACAAGAAATAACAAGATGTGTTGGTGAAACACTGAGGCCCCCGTATGGCAACTTATGGCAAAGCGTAAAGTTTCTCAAATGCCAAGTCAAACTTCAAGGTCTAATTCAAAAGATAAAAAATGTTGGTAACCAAAGGAAGGTTTTTTCACAAGGAATACACCTGTGAAATTGAAAGCCCTAGCAACATCAGTTCAATAGCTATATGATCAAGATTAAAGTTTTTAAAATGTAGGGCAAACCCAAGGTCAAAGGGTTAAAATTAATGGTACACTTTGGAAGGTCTTGTCACAACAAATACACGTGCGTAATTTGAAAGCCCTAGCTCTAACCATTCAAAACAAATGATCAAGGTTAAAGCTTTTCAAAAGTAGGTCAAAGTCAAAGGTCATAATTATTGGTACCATTGGAAGGCCTTGACACAAGAAATACACGTGTGAAATGTGAAAGCCCTACTACAAACCGTTGAGTTATGACCAAGGTTAAAGTTTTTCAAAAGTGGGTCAAACTCTAATGTCAAGGTCAAAGGGTAAAAAATTGCTGGTACATTGTACCCATTGGAAGGTAATACACATATGTAATATGAAAATCCTAGCTCCAACTATTCAAAATTATAGCCAAGGTTTAAGTTTTTTTTTAAAAAAAATTGGGTCAAACTTCAAGGTTAAAAATATTCGTACACAAGGAAAGGTCTTATCACAAGAATACACATCTTAAGGTAGTACAAAACACACGAAAAATCAGTTTTAACTCATTTCTTCTAAAGCACTCCAGAAAAAAAAATTAATATCACTTTAATGTCAATTATCAATTATCTTTGGAAGGAAAAATATAAACTATGTCATGTATTTACCATATTCTGAATATATATAAAAAAGAATATTCTCGAGCCTACATTTTAGAATGTGTTTATGTCATCTACATATGATTTAACCGTCTGTTATTAAATAAAGTGTAACTTTTGATTGCTTTATAGCAAAGAACGAATATTTGGACATATAAGGAATCTTCATGCTTAATGTAGAGTAAAGGTCACGAACATATTTAGAGGTCAAAGGTAAAATATTATGACGTCATCTAACGTTTTTTATTCATTTATTTATTTTATTTTTTTTTTTGCACTGATTTTTTTTAAATCTCCATAATACCTGAAACCCATAGATGAATTTCCCTCATTTTAACATATTTTAATCCTTGTTCCATTTCAATCATTCTGTTGATATTTTGTTTATTTTTTTCTTTTAAGAGATCATAAAGTATAGTATAGTTACATGTGAATTTGCAATTCCCGAGCTACAAGTGTTTCAATTTTTTATTTTTACATTACAGTGCTTTCAAATATATTAATATCAATATATTTTACTGACGTATAGTAACAAAAAGGTGACCTTTATAAACAGCATCACACATTTTTGTAATATTTCAGATGGTATAATTTTTTAACAATGCACATTCTGATGTTAAATGTCTGATTACACCCTCCTCTTACTGGGGTCTGATAGGGTATATATCAAACCATGTGAGCAAAAATTTAATTTCTTTTATATTACACAAATAGAGATATTATAACTTAGAACAAAATGACAAAGTTTCAAATAATTTGAATTTGATGAAAAATGTGATCTTCTATTATTTGTTTTGTACTACTTTAATTATGAAAGCCGTTGCCCAAACCGATCAGAAGTTATGGCCAAAGTTAAAGTTTGGTAAAATTTTACAAAACTTAATCAAACTCCAAGGTCAAGAGGTCACATATGTTAGTACCCAAAAGAAACACTTGTAAAATATGAAAGCCATAGCTCCAACAACTCAAAACTTACGGGTAATTAAGGTAAAAGTCTTTGCAGATATATATACAGACAGATAGACGGAGGGACAGGGCAAAAAATATATGCCCCCGAATCTTTGATTACTGGGGCATAAAAATAAATACGAAAAATAGAACCCATAGTGGTAAAATGCTCATCATACATGTATGTAATCATGCAAACTTTGCAAGTGAAATAGGAATATATTCAAAAGCTGTTATTTTTCAGACATGAAAATGCAATAGACCAGATTTGTTTGAAAATGGTTACTGCGGATCTCTTATTTTTCCTGGGATCCAATTTTCGTGGATTAAGGTTAAACAACAATATTTGTAAAGACTTTAGAGCCCTAGGTGAGATTTATCCCTGTAAATTGAACCCCCTTAAAATTTTTATTATTCCAACATTATGCAGTTCTATAGAAACTCAGATTTATAGAGAAACTGATTTATACTGTGTCAGCCGATTCTTTATATTTATTGCATGGAAAAGAAATGATAAAATGATGATAGGAAGGATATATCATCCACTTTTGGACCAAATAAGAAAGATGGAATACAAAAGACATGAGAGAAAATATAACCTCGTTCTACTTCAAATGGCTTACAGATGAATATTAATAATTGTACAAGTAAAGACTTCTAGCGTGGAGAATGTGATAAGAAAAAAATCAAATTAGAACTAACAGGAAAAGAACTTTAACGACAGAGAAATGAGAACTAAAATGTCAAAATAAAGAACTGATAAGTTAAAAAAAAATAATCATGGGTAAAGACATGAGAACAAACAGAGAATTGATATGCAATGGAAGTAAAACTTGAATTCGAAGCAAAAGCAAATCTAGGAAAGGGAGCTGATAAACAAAAATATTCTTGACAAATAGATTTGGTAACAGAAACAACCCCAAAGAATCGGCTAGTAACCTATAAGCATGTGAAATGGAAGAAGGAGAAACTCCAAAGATGCAAATTGATTACTTTTTATGAAGGTGAACCTCTTTCGAAATCCAAGATAGAAGTAACAGTCTAAGATACTGACCAAGAAAAAAAAAGAATTTAAAACGCTGCAGCTGAATTCACTTGAGAGTTGGAAAATAGAATTTAATGACAAGCCAAAATATTTCTTCTTCCTTTTATTGTCTTTTTTTTTTTTTACATTATCACAATGTCATATAATTTCATCCTTAAAAAATCCAACTAAAAAAAATCCAGAATAAACGCATCTGTAAATTTGAATACTTAAACTATATAAAAATGTGTAAAAATAAAACCATACCTATAAAAGACAGTCAAATGCTACAATGGTACATTCATAAAAAAAAGTCTGTGGTATAATATATGTATTAAAGATATCAAAACCGGTATGGTAGTATATTGAGATTTTTTGGAGTCTGAATACATGCATTTGATGCAATAAAAATAAAATCATACATGTATAATTATTTTCAAACGACTAAAATACTAGTATGTAATTCAAAATTTAACTTAGCAACATTTTTGTGCTAAAACGATTCCTAACCTGCAAATACTACGATTTTCAGCATAATGATTCACATTTGCATAGATATGCTCACACTGAAGAAATAAAACAGAGAAAAATACTATTTTCACTCATTTCTTTTCCATTCTTTTATCATTTTCCCATAAAAAAAAGAGAAAAAAAATCGAGTAAATATAGTAGGTATTGCTGACATGTTTTTATTCCATTATTCAAATTTACCAATCGAGTTATATCCTATATGTTATTTGACTTGTACATGAGTGAAATTGTTTTTGGTAGCTCTTGATTTACTAACTGTACATTCAAGTATTGTTATGCATGTCGATCTGTCAAAAAGAATGATTGTTGAAATGCTATGAACACATCTAATACTGAATTAGAAATAAAATGATGAGAATAAATCCTTATAAATGACATGTATTGGAAATATTAACAATTAAATGCTAACAGTATAACCAATTCATTAATTATTATAGTTACACATAAGATTCAAATGAAATTCCGGTTTTCGTTGAGCCATTTGAGTCAGAAAGGGACTTTTTCATTCTAGCAGATAGTCTACTTGCTTCTAAAGACTTTAAGCTCCCAGTCTGTTAAAATAAAATAAAAAAATGATTGAATAACAAAAATTATTTAGTATACTATACCGAATTTGTTCTTCTATTTAAGATGTATGATATAAAGCTTGTTAAAAACTAATACCGGTAGTTAAGACCTGCCTAAAATAAATTATAATGATACAGTTTTATTGGAAAATTCACAGCTTGAAAAGGAGCGATCATTTTCTTGAGATATTGAACATACAGCTGAGATATTAGATTTTACATCATACACAATAACATTATTGCATTACCCAAATATGAGAGATTTTAGCAATCATATTCTTTTCAGTCAACAGGAATATCTTACCCTTAGTTCACTATCTGATTTGTAGGCGTAATTTACAAACGCTCCTTTCTCTGCCCATGGATCCTCCACCCAACCATCAACATAGTTCACCAGTTCTCTGTGACGGACCAAGGCGGGACCCCACTCACGGGACGGGGTGCACTGAAGCTTGATTTTCTGAATTTAAAATACGAGGGTTTTTTATCGTTCTTAAGCAATATTGAGAATGAAATGCTTTAGGACCCTCTGTACATCTTATACACTGTATAGAAATACCAAATAATTAGAACTCTTTTGTGTGCGGTGTATATAAGGTTCTTAATACGTCTTATTTCAAACAAAAGATCTAATATCAATATCTAATATATTACTTTGTATATATGTTTTAATAAATGAATCGTCTGTTTTGTTTTCAGTTATGTAATGAATTGAAACAGCTACTTGTTTTCGGTGGTATATTATACCAGATATTTAAAGAATTTTTTACAAATTTTATTCTGTCTGAATTTTGTTTGAACGTAACATACTACTTTGCATATTCATGGGAATAAAAAAAGGAGAATTATTCGCACAACAAAAATTTGTTTGTCTTCAGTAAAAAATTATTTTGATAACTGTGTGAACTCCGCGTCCAGTATAAATAAAAAAAACCCAAAATTTAAAAAAAATGTACATGTAATAGAAAAATGTAATACTCAATAATGACCAAACATATCACATTTGAGTATATGTAAATAAATCAGCTGGACAAAACTTACTCCCCAGACCGACGTGTCCTCGTCCTCCTTGTTAACTTGATATAACATGGTGATTGGAATAGCCAATATAATGGCTACCGCCATAAACCAGCCCAGGCCGTCCGCCCAGCCCGGAAACGTGTAGTCCCCGTATGTAGAGGCCTCGTAGTCAATAAAAGTGGCTATGAATATCAACTAATAAAAAAGAGATAAACAAAAAATTTAATTAAGCTTTTTTTTGTACCGTCCTATATTTAAGAAAGCATTTATCAAATAATGAAAATGTAATTATTTTCAAAAAGTGAACGAAAAAGGAAAAAAAAAATATTTATCAAAAAAAACCAAACAAACAAAAAACAAAAAAATATAATGATATATCAAAAACAAAATCATAACAAAACAAAAACAATATTAAAAAAAAAAAAATTAAAAAGACCAAAAGAAATCAAAACAAGCCCAGAGAAACAATACTTAATCAAAAAAATAAAATAAAAAAATAAAATAAAAAACCAATCAAAAGATTTTGTGTAATTTTAATAACTTTCATTATCTTGAATGCATCTGTTCTCAATCTGTAAAAAATGGTCTGAAAATCAAATATTTAAATTTCATCATTACCACTAATGCTATGGGACTTAGAACCATCCAGCAAATCTTCCACCAGATGAACATCTTTAATCCTAACATAAGCTCTATGTCTTTTATGAATCTATTTACTCCTGCATGTAAAAAATAATTTTTGTAAAATATTGCATAAATTCATCAAGTAAACTTTTGTATGTTACTGCTTAACCATTGCATAGAGAGAGAAATACATGTAGAATCTGGAAATTTTATACCTACCATATATATACGTAATACATATACACTCCGCAAACCCTATAATTAAGAGGGTCCAGCCTCCTACATAATTATCGAGTATTTGTACCAGGTACACACCTCCCTAGAAAACAAAGGCAAAGTTTTTAAAAGAAAGTCTGTTATAAACATTCTTCCTAAAGTGCCCCCTTCCAAGAATACCCTTAGAATAATTCATATGATGGAAGAAATATGTCACATACATGTAATGGGAATGAAAATTATTAGAAATTTGAAATAAAGCATTTACCGTAATCTTAGTTTTATATATGTGTGTTATTGAGTAATATGATTTCTGAAGTTTTCTATGAGGAATTACACGAGACACTTACCGGAGAGCAGAGAGGTAATCCGATGATGAAGAAGACTATACAGATGACAAGGATAACAAGGGTTTTATGGGGTCTCAGGACTGGATACTGGTCCATCACCCCCGTCAACACCGTCTCCAACATTGCAAACTGTTCAGAGTACATGTAGTCAACATAAAAGTTACTTTTTTCATTTACTCACAGAATTTAGTATAAACAGATAGGCGAATAAATGAACTTTGAGTCAGCTACTTGTATGCTGTTGTTCATGGCAATTTGGAGGGAAAATATTAAAACGTGAAATACTTTAAACCTTTGAAACCACATTACGTGTATCATTTCTCCAAGAGATTCAAATTGCGTAAATTATGAGGTTTGACAACTTAGTGTAAGGATAAAGAACTTTATCAGGATCCAAATTGTTCACTTATATACTAAATGAAGTATATTCTATTCTCATTTCAAAAAGGTATATAAATGATTTTACCTGACTGTCAAGTCCTAATGTGATAAGCATGAAAAAGAAGAGAGCTGACCAGAATGGCGAAGCCGGCAGACTGGCTACAGCTGTGGGATAAACAACAAACGCCAGTCCAGCACCTGTGAAGAGGACAAATCGACCAAAAGGTTGAAAACGACTTAGTATAGATTTGGAATACTAGTACACATCACGGTTTTTGGAAGGTAATATGGCGAACGCAGTGTGTAAGCAATGTTTTGAATTTTGTTTTTCATTAAAAACATACTTATTTTTACTGTTTGAAATAGTTTCGTTAATTGTGCATGTATTCTAAGTTTGTGAAGAATATATAGTCAAACCGAGAGTTCTTCAACTCAAGAGGAAAGCCGACAACGACTTAAACAGTACATGTATAATATACACTTGTGAAAAATGTACACATTTAAATCAAATCAAATAAACATAAAAATATGTACCGTCTTGTGCCACATCTCCAACCTTTGCATTGAGTTCACCGGCCATATGACCAAGATAGGAAAAGATGACAAAGCCAGCGAATATACAGGTTAGTGTATCTCCAACACTGACAATGATAGAATCTCTACAACAAAGAATTACTAGTATACACATCAGCATTTCTAAAACACAATGTTTCACTTTCCTGGTTTTAAACCTAAATAATATGGCATCCCTACTCAAATATGTTCGAGGTGAAATTTTCAACCTGCAACAGTAAATAATACCTGCATTTTCCAATATACACTGATTTCAAGCTAAAAATGATAAAATCTCTACAATAATGAAAAATAATTAAAAGTAATACACACGAAATATACGTTTGGAATTTCTGTCTTTAAGTCTGATAATGTTTGAATTAGAAGACTATGAATATTAGAAATTTTTATACAGGTGCGTTTTTGAAGCATAAATGCCCCTCTGAGTTTACCCAAGTGGATTGGGGACAATTTAATCTTGTCCGTATTACGTTTTTAAGGCTCCAGACACACGGTCTAGTCTACATGTTTGCTAATTGATCTAATATTTCTCCAGTTCAACATTATTGTAGAACTTTGCAATTCCAATAACTGTTACCTTTTTTGCCCAAATGCCCTTCTTAGGGCCATGTTACACTGTTATCATAACCTTTCTCTTTATTTAGTACTAGATGAAATCCCGCGCAAGCGCGGGGAATTGAATTTATACCACTAACGACAGAAAATATATAACTGTAGTTTCTACTGACAGCCTACAGGCTTATAGCAGGAAGATATACTTTGTTCAAAATCCCGCATGAAGTAGATGAATGTTTCCACCCCACCCCCACCCCTACCCCATCCCTTTCTGTAAAAACTTGAAAAATAACAATTAATTTCGTTAATTGGTGTTTATTGTGAAACCTGTTATACTATGTTATGGATATTGTACTTCAGATGCTCTTATTTCGTTTCCGTCAAAAGCAGCGAATGTGCACATTTTACTGATAAACTGCATGATTTTTTTTTTCGGGGGGTGGGGGGTGGGGGAATTCACAAATACTTGGGTCTTGGTTTATAAATATGTATGTACCTTATTTATACGTAAAATATGTAGTTTACTTTTTTTTTTTTTTTTACATATCAATAGGGTACATACATATTTATAAACCAAGACACAAGTATACGGGGTCTGTGAAAAAAAAATAGTTTTTAGGCCGAGTATTTGATACAAAAGACTGTATTCAGAAAAAAAACCCTGAAATGTATTGATTAAAGCACAACATTTTACACAGCTTTAATTGTTTTTGAACAATACCTTATTCATTATTTTTCTCTTTTCATGTTAGCAAGTTTATTACGAAGTACGAATTGTACTTCTGGTTCGTTGCCACGATGCTCTCAGTAAGGAATACATGTATATATAATTTTACCGATAAATTTATTAGAAAAACCTACTACATACATGAAATAGTCTTTCGATATATAAATATATTCAAAACTTGTAGTGTTATCAATGATTTACCATTATTTCAATGACCATTTTTTTTAGTGATCACCTCGTTTTTCTTTTTAACATCGGGCTCGATGCTATATGATGTTCTAGAAGCTTCCGTCAATATTAAGATCGGTGAATGACGAAAATAATTTGCATATTTCCCTCTTTAATCGGTTATCACAACTTATTTCTTTTATATCATTTAAATCAAGTTTTGATTGAATAATTCAGTGATGACGTTTAATTAAATAAATAAATGATTGCTTGTTGTCAGTTTCATTAAAAATTGCCAGTATCTTAGATCCTCCAACCGGAAACGCCACCGTACTCACGTTTTTGCTATTTCATGGCTGTTTATAGAAAATAAGAGTAGACTTTTAATTTTATTAACGATACTGACTATGCGAGTGAAATCTAAATATAGTTTACGGACATCATCTTGTATACAATGTATTGTTAGAGGAGTGAGTAAGAAGTCTGGTGCACCCGTTTCGGAGTTTATTTGCAAAATTTATTAATTTATAAGTATAGATGTTCTTCTGTCCCTCAATTACAGGCTCATTACTAGTATTACAATTTTAGATGAACTTGGATTTAATTCTACAAGTAGTGATCCGACTAATAGGATCTCACAATTCCCTTTCCAAGGTAGAGGTTCTTCAAAATCACAAGTAAGATTTAGATATTTTCATATTCCAAACAACCAAACTGATTTTGAATTATCTATCCATACCATTACTGGATTCTAAAACTTCATAAAAATCCAGAGATACAAAACTGGATCAAGCAAATGTTCTACCAAGCCTCTTTCTTTTCTCCTCACAAAAATATTAAGAGAAGTGAAGGAGAATCTTTAACAGTACTGTGAAGCAACATATTTGACAAATGTGGATACTTACAAACTCCAATGACTTTTAGTTTTAAATCACAAAATTTTACGAAATCAATAGTATCAAAGCGTTTGATTTTTCAACACTTTACATGAAGAACTTTTTGACATCATACACAACTGCTTAATTGTTTTAGTAAAACTAGAACTCGCAAATCCTACCTTTGCCGGTGGTCATCAGCGGATTTACTTTCTTAAAAATAATTCTGATTCTACGTACATACAGGTACTCTGAAGTTGATATTAAAAAGATGTTTGAGTTTCTCACTGAATATCTATGCAGTCTTTGGAGGCCAGGTTTTCTAACAATCTTTTGGAATTTCCATGGGTAACAACTGTGCCCCATAAATAGCAGATCTGTTTTTGTATTTTTATGAAGCTTTGTTTATTTAAAAACTTCTACATTAAAAGAAGTCTCTTGCTGTGGCCTTCAATTCAACGTTTAGATGTATATCGATGGCGTTTTATAAATTTACAATAATTATTTTCATTCTTACATTGACTCGATATATCCATTGAATTCGATATAAAACACACCACGAAGTCGGATACAACTGCTTGAATATGGATATTTTATTAGAAAAAAACAATGATGGCAAACTAACAACTAAACTTTATGATAAACGTGATGACTTTACTTTGCTATTTTCACCTTCCCTTATTTATGTAGCAATAAACAATTATCACTGGCATATGAGGTTTATGTCTCACAGTTGATTCGATACGCAAAAGTATCTTCTTTTGGACAATTTCTTAAACGAGGCAGGCTACTGACAAACAAGCCGATGATACAAGGGTATCTACAATCTAGTTTTAAGTCAATATTTCGCAAATTCCATGGCTGATGCAATAACTTTGTTTGCAAATACCATCTGTCATTAGGCCAAATGTTGACTTAAGTCTTTCATACAATTGTTAGGCCATTATTTTGATACTCTATTTAATATGGATTTCTTCGTTTACTCGATCATGACAAAGGGCACACATCCAGTGTAAAAGGTCGACAGGGGATGCTTACTCCTATATGGCACCTCATCCCACTTCTGTTTTTAGAGGTCCGAGTTTGCTCTGCTCCATTTTGTATTGTTTCAATGGACTTTCGCGCATGATTACTCTTTGTTATCTTCATATTTCACAGATGAGGACCAAACCACAATTTTACACCTCCCATTATTGTCACATTGACCCTAGTTTAATTGACCTCGGGTCAGAGTCAAAACACTTTTCTAGTTTACAGCTCTCTTAATACCAAACCAGAAATCTCCATTTTGTTTATCTCAAATATTGTGAGCAAGATCAACATTGTTAATATACCAAGAGAAAGACAGATCTACATTAAAATCAGCATGCCCCAACTTCCGACCTCAAGGTCATAATAAATTCTATCACAATAGTTATGACTTGTTTTAAGGTCAAGGTATCAAAGTATCAAATATTTAGTGACGTATATTAAGAAAGGTGTTGATAACTTACTTATGGACGATGTTTATGATAACTTACTTAAGAATGTTGTTATGGAACCTGTTGTAACTGGAGAGTGTTACAAGCCCTCCACCTGCTATGGACATTGAGAAGAATATCTGAACAGCTGCGTCTTTCCAGACCTGTTATAACACATTAAAAATTGTCTATACTCTTCTGACCACGATTATTTTTCCAATAAACAAATGTGAGGTTTCATAAGGAAAATATGTTTAGATTTTAAAAATATTTCATTAGTGTGATTTCCAAATCTACGTTTCTAAAACGATATCGGTAACCTATAATTAACCTAAAATCTTGGCTCCTTGATATCTGATCAAAGACACTAGTATTTCATATATACAGTTCTATTAACTTCAGAATATACTTGTCATTCAATATGACAGATGCAGGACTAATGGACTTATAAATAAACCAGACGAATCCGTTTAACAAATGATCTAAGTATGATAAGGCATCTCCTATCATCCACTTACCCGAGGATCGAGAAGCCGTTCAAAGTCTGGCACTATGTAGTAATATATCCCTTCTCCGGAGTTACTGAGGAATACGCCATTAAAGAAAAGGATCAACAGGACAACATATGGGAATATGGCGGTGAAATATACAACCTGAAATTTACAAATAATATATTTAAATATTTCTTTATTTTTTCCATAAGGGACGGGCCCGGAGTGGTGTTAGAGGAACACACTTATATATGTTTTTAAAAAGGCTGCTTTTTTAGAAAAAAATATTCTGTGGCTATTTCTTCAAAATATAAAATGAATGAATCATATTTTTTCTTTTACATAACAATATTTTGTATGTACTTTAAGCTAAAAAAAAAATGTCTGCAAAACATAATTAGTAAATAGGTGAAATTTCATACATATCACTTGAAAAAATTACAAAGGCGAGTTTAAGTACATATTTTTTTAAAGTATAAATTATAACAAACGGAAATAATTATTATTTTCCATTTTAACAAAATGCTAAGAAATTGTTGACTGTTGTCGTGACGACACTTCCGAGATTATTATGTATTATGGGTAAGGAAGAACTGTTACCTTTCCGGTAGATTTGATTCCTTTAATGAGACACAGGAAACAGATGAACCAGGCGAACATAAGACACAGAACCAAGTCCCACTTAGGTTGTCCGAACTCCTCAATTCCTGAGCTCTGGTCTAAAGCAACATTTCTGAAAATAGAAAATACAAGGATAAGGAACATCTAAATATCTTCGCCCATATCATGTATCATATGAACTAGACTTAATTCAGTACTGCCTACTGTAACCAGCGAGGGAGAAAAATGCGACGGATAAGGTCAGGATTCGAACTCAGGTCCTATGAATCACTAGTCAATTGCTCTATGCCAATTAAACTAACTGACCACGGGTAATCCAACATGCATGACTGCCACACTACTTATGTCTAAAACTTCAGAAATTTGTGCTTGAATTCAAGTAATTTATGTAAAATGTCAGTACCAGGAAAAGGGTGAATAGTAAACTGAAATTGTCTGACAGTTAGTGAACTCCTAAACTTTTTATAAGGTGCTTGAAGATTTTTCGGTACTTTTTCATTTGAATCATATGTATTTATGATAATTGAAAATACTGAACAAATCAATAGGCTTTCTTTGAAATATTTTGCATTAGGGGGATGATTATAACTGAGCGAAGGGTTAACATATCATTTCTATCCTAAACTCAAAAAAAATTTACTCTCAGAAGAATCTGACCTGGACAAACTGACACCAAGTTCCATCTAAAATTTATGTCGGAAAGAAATGTGACTATATACAGTAATCTTACTCCCAGTATTCCTCTGACGCTAGCTTCCGCTTCCGGCCAGTTGCATTGGTAAACTTTTTAGCATCCCAAAGTCCAACAAAAGTGTCACCATTGTAACACGTTCCGTTGGTATATTTCTGTCCATTGGTGCATTCTGTCAAAGGTAGCTTTGTACTGCAATCTGCAACAAATTTATTATAGTACTGAAGTATACTTCTGTTTTTGAAGACTTTTAAAATTGAAATATCTTTACTGGCAAAATTCCAACCGCCTTCTCTTATTACTAGCGCGTGATTTCAGGAACCATCGGGAGAGAGAGAGAGGGGGGGGGGGGTCCTTAGATTAGCTTAAAGGTGCTTGGACACAGATTTAAAGTTAATATTTTCTCAAGTTTTCGGTATAATATCATGGCTTATATGTTGCAATAGCATTTCAAACGGAAATATAAATAAAAAAAACTTATTTTATCTGGAAATTATTGAAACTACAAATTTCGGAACGCGTTTGAGTGATACATCCTAGCACTTTCATAAAGCAAACTTTATCCTTAATACTAAAAGAAAAGTAAAATTTTTGTTGTGTATTAATGAAATATATTCAAACTATAATCCAGAAAATTCAGAGTAGAAATGTAAGAAAGCAAAGCCAACTAGCTCACCAGTATTGTCAGTCTGTGCTCAGTGATGTATGCAGAGTTTAACAAATTGAACACACCCGGTGAAACGTAAACATTAACAATAACAGAGCTCGTGCCCTGTTTACAAAAACAGTTTACGTTTCACGGGTGTGTTCAATTTGTTAAACTCTGCACACATCACTGAGCACGGACTGACAATACTGGTGAGTTGGTTTTGCTTTCTCACATTTCTACTCTTTATTTTCTGGATTATAGTTTAATATTTTTCATTAATGCACAACAAAATTTCTACTCTTATTAAGTATTAAGGAAAAAGTTTACTTTGTGAAAGTGCATAGATGTGTCAATCAAACGCGTCCTGAAATTTGTAGTTTCAATAATTTCCAGATAAAATAAGTTTTTTTATTTTATTTCCATGTGGAATGCTGTAAAAACATATAAGTCATGATATTATACCGAAAATTTGAGAAAATGTTAACTTCAAATCTGTGTCCAAGCACCTTTAAAGTAAGGACTTTTGTATCACTTGTCATTGAAAAATTCATGTAGTTTTTTTAAGAAATCGACATACAAACATAATGCAAACAACATAATATTTATATATAAACTTGTATTTAATAGATTTACATGTTTATTAAACAACTATTGCAGTTTGTTATATTCACTTATTTCAACTCCGCTTTGAAGAAGATTAAAACTGCAGAAGTGCTTTATAGTTATCATTAAGGTTGTAAAATCAGGGATTTCACACATCAGACACCAGAAAGGGTCCGCCGGGATAAAACAAGGCGATAATGACGTAACCAATCACATTTTCTCCATTCATCAGTACTATACTCCCTCACAGAAAGGCGTTATCGACAAATATAGTGAACATTTGACGTTAATACATTTAACGCACTCTCGATTGTTGAATAAAGACAGATTTTAATTTAGAAATACAGGAATACACATGGAGATTCCATGTATAACATTTCCAGTTTATTACCAACGAAAATTAACCAATTATACTAGGCTAGTATTTTTGCAACAACAACAAAAAAAGAATAACGGTAACGTTTTCATACTTGTGTTCTAGAGACTCTAACTCCTCGTGTATGGTCTAACATTTACGTTTCAATCTGATTCCTTTGGATACTTTCGAAAATGTGAAAGTCTACAATGTCAGACGATGACTCTGACTCACTGTATTGAAATTATGATTTTCAAATATTTGTTTGACCATTATTTTCATACTGAATTTCCTTACTTATCTTCGTTTTACTTACCCTGACAGGGGATGCTTATATCCTCCACAGCGAGTGTAAACAGTGGAAATTTGGGTAAATTATAATAAATGTACAATTAATGCATAGTGTAAAGTACAATCAAGATAATAGGTTTGCGTCATCTTGTACTGTAAAATCCATATGGGTCAAAATGTTGTAATATGCAAAGAAGTGCAACTAACTGCTTGTAAGGGTTAAGGATACTCTCTATATATGAGTATAAGAAGGGATGAAGTTAAGTTATTTACCTCTGGTGTTCCAGCTGTTATCACACGTTATCCACGGTAGGTTACTAGTGAAGGAAGCAAAGAAATAGTAGTAGGACCAGGCCAGGATCATGTTGTAATATAGTGACGTCAGAGCAGACACCGACACCATAGCTATTCCTACCCCTACAAATCAAAATTATCATATGTCAAATTATATTTTATATGTATTTTTAGCATAATTGAAATTGTTTATAAAATTTACAAATGCGTCCTGAAACGCTTAATTTTTTTGCTCATTACATAAAACACATACATATAAATTGTATTTTATGAATTGGCAATACTTCCACTCTTTCTTCCATTATACATGTTATAGAAAACTGGCGGATCATAACAATATTGAACACTTTTTCTTTATTACCTTTTGTAGATTGTTTTCTCCTTTATTGTAATTTAAAAAACAAAACACATTTTCAGTAAAAACGTTTTTGGGAAAAAATGTTAAAAAGTTGCGATATTGAAATTAGAAAAATCTTTCTTATTTTCATTATCGCTTGTCTTACTGAAATAAGCTATTAGGCCAAACCAAAAAAAAAATGAATTAGTTGCTTTCTCTGTCAGACGCACATGTATTATATTATAAAACTAAACTCGCCTTTGAAAAGCGGTGCAAATTTCCAGCAAGTGAGAGGACCGCTGCTACAAAATTGTCCTAGCGAGGCCTCCATAAAAAATAGGGGTACGCCAATTAGAATCATCATCAAAATGAAGGGAATCAGAAAGGCCCCGCCTCCATTACGATAACATAAATAGGGAAATCTCCAAACGTTTCCAAGACCAACGGCGTAACCTAACATTGAAAGAAGAAAGTCAAATCTTCCCGTCCAGTTTCCGCGTTCTTCGTTTTCATCTTTTCCAAACATTTGTTTTCTGCTGTCGTCGGTTTCCTCTGTTGCTATGGTAACCTATAAATATGCATTTATGTTATCTTTACATTTGATTTTAGAATCGTAAGACAAAACTTTAAAAATTCAATATAGTGAAAAGATTTTTTTAGCCATGGTTCCATTACGTTTGCTATCTTTTTAAGATATTTTTCTCCATCGAAAAATGTTTTAATACCTTCATCTTACTACTATTAATTATTAATTGAATTTAATTCAAGTTTATAGGATAATTTTAAAATTAGTTCTGAAGGAAATTGCTAATGATTTTTGTTCTTCGAATATTTTCATTATTTTTATTGGACCATTTATTATATGAACTATTAATTATGTTAGTTACCTGAGATGCTCCGTTGGCAGTCTTGCTATTCTTTCTATAGATCCCCGGGTCGATATTGTTGGTCATAAGATCGGGGGGTCCCAGACTTCCCGTGTCCCCTGCGTTCCCATTGGAAGTCACGTCCGACATACTGGACTCCCATTTTTCCTGTATAATACTTGTAAATTTTGATTGCAAAAATAGCAAATAGATTCCTTTCAAAACTTTAAGAATAGAAATGTTGTGGCTTGTTAAAAAATATGTATGAAATCATAGAATACTAGTATTGCATAAGACTTGAAAGGAAGGTCCCTGACAAAAATGCCGCATAATAATGCAAAATCATATCTTATGGGTACATCGTGCATTTCACATTTAATTTATTATGTCAAGTCTCAAAATCAATTTTGTGATTTTTGTCAGTTTGAAAAGAAGCCATATCTGCTTCTACTTATGAAATAAGATGTTGGTCAATGTTACTTGTTATTTGTCAACGGAGTAGTAAGCTAACAGCTTTTCTGTATACTGGGAGATTGCCTTTCTTTGTCAAAAATTACATCACATGCATTATTCAATGCAGAGTTAGGTTACAACAACTATCTGGATTTTGCCATCTTATCCAGAAGGGATTTTCACTTTAGAAAGAAGTCTAAAGCTTATGACTGACGATTTTGGTCAAACAATTCTTCTTCCATTAAACTAACAAATCTAAGCATTGATCTTGTGTACCGCTTGCCTAAGCTTTGTTTTTGCAGTCTTCGTAACTGAACGACATACATGTTACTCATGAAACATAATATTAACATAGAATTTTTATCCATGGGATGTGCAAGGTCTTATAGAAAAGATTAATGAAACTTGTGTCCTCAAATCAACCTTTAAAAGCAAAGGTTTTCTCTTCTTTTGTTACGGGTACAGTCCTGTTGTTAATTAGAGCGTGACGACTTTGTGGGTCCAGGGTATCACAAACACACGGTTATCGATTGATTTTGTTGATCAAAGCTTGGAAGAAAGTACAGATTAATGTTTCCCACCAGAATCGCGCTAATCGTTTTATATTTATCTTATAATTTCGGTTTACCACAAAATCCATATCTAATTTTTAAAAAGTTTGCTATGGTTTTGTAGAAATATTTTTACTCTATACAAAGTAATTAAACCTTCAGTGTACTAATTATGGCGACTTGTGACACATTTACTGCATGTATCTTCCCTTGATAATTTCATGTCTTTTTCGAAAGAGGAACTTAAATAATTGACATGAACAGCTGATTGACTGGGGACGCTAATTCAAATGTACTGATTACAACTTCTCGCTTGGCTTACCTTTCGGCGTAAACCCGACATTTGTGTTAATCCCCAATTAATCCACCTTGTTTAATTCATCATTAGTCACTTTGGGAACCTGGATGCACCTTGATGTTGAATTCACACCTGAATGCGACCATGACGGAGCACTTCCGGCATTTTTTACAGGCTTCCAACTGACCTCAAAATTAGGATACAGTTTATTCACCTTTTTGTTAATTTACCTGGGAATACCTATGGTAACTCAGGCGTGGCGACACTAGCATAAGTAATCGAGTTATTAATAGCAGATGACGTCAATCGATTATAGAGCTTAATTCAAATACATTTTGAACTAAAGATATGTTTGCTGTTGCATATTTATTAATAACCCCTTCTGACAGTCTAAAGCAGCGAGAGTTTGGGAAGACGAATTTGACATTCTATGTATTTATTTAAGAAATTACTCAATTTCTTTTTCTAAGCGGAATCAAATCCCAGAGTGGATTTACATAAGAACACATTACTAGGGTACCACTAAAAATATTTAAAAAAATCTAAGAAGACCAAAAATTCTTTGAAATCAGTGTAGTTATTCTCTTCTGAATGTTTAGCTTTTATATACCTTTTTCTATACATGTAATTAGTTCACAAAACATACATATCCATGCATTCAAAATCGTTATGTGTCATTTCAATTCTGCATTTCTTTTCAAAGGCTTCTGTGAACCAGATTATTATTCAAACGTTGAAATGAAATTATCTATTGGAGGTATCTTCAAAGGGGCTATACAATAAAAAAAAAAAAAAAAAAAAAAAAAAAAAAAAAAAAAAACATTTTTGTTACGGAAATGGTGTTTTATATCGACAAAGTCGCATCAATGTTTGCAATTAGTGGCATGCTTCAGAGTACATTCTGCTGGAAAATTCCTTCAGTCGGTTGCTTGCGGGGGAAAAAAGATCTTTTGTTCGGAATGGCTTTATACGAACGTTTCCTTAAATTTACAACGTTGATTAAAAAAAAGGAATTTAATATTTTTGGGTCTTTAACTTTAAGTAGTAAACAGGCTATACATGTACTCTGAATCCTATCGGCGTAAGGAAATTGAAAAATATTTCACAGATTCGCATTTGGTTAAATGGTTCACATCTGATTCACACCACTTTTCAGAGATAATGTCATAGTTTTCTGTCATGTTTTTTTCCCATTGAACCATTCAAACCACGTGATCATAGTACTGTTTTCCTTCTAAAGTTATATAAAAATAATATACATCCAGTTAATATTTTTTTGTATGTTTAAAATAAGAGATGAAAATATAACATCTCAGAAATCATCTGCAAAAGGTATGAGATATACTTAAAGAGTCCAGGTCTTGTTCGATACATTTTCTTCCTTCCTGTTACATTTGATACCAAAGGATCCGGGATCCTAATCCCTATATCTGGTCCGAGTCGCATTTCCCTCTTTCCTGTTTACAATAATATCAAATGACACCCAGACGTCAGTCAAATATGCATTCACTTTTTTAAGCACATTTAGACATTCTGGACTGATTTTCACAGCACTATAGTGCTATTGACATATTAGTCTCACACATTGAATATTGAATACGTTCATTCATTAATTCAATTATCATTCTGAATCACACTCACGAAGATGTGTTGTAAACTAATGTGTTAAGCTTAGTGCCTTCTATATTAAAGTGTACTTTTTTTTCGATAATTTGAGATGGAAAACGTGCGTTCAGTGTTCTTTCGTGAGCTTTTCTTCGCCTTTTCCTCTTCATGTTGTGAACTGTGTGTCTCAGATGTGTCGGTCTTATATGAAGTAGAAAATTAATGTTCTTTTTTCAACTCAGTTAATATCTGGAACAGAGACAGACAGAAGAAGATCAATACAGGGCGTGCTGGGGCTTCCTTTTCTTGATTGTCTTGTTTCTATAGCAAAAAGATTCAATCACGCCGCACTATATCTTTGTTATTTGTGATATATTGATATATACTTTGTATTCCATCTTAAGAGATTGTAGGTTGACGATGTGTTCGGTGTTATTTGGCAAGGTCTCGTGAAAAATTTGTGACTTTGGCCACCAAAATTAAAAATAACGCGGAAGCGTGATTTTGGTCTGTCTGCCTGTCCACGTTTTAACTTTGGTGATATACGCGCAACTATAGTTTCCTTTCATTGTGTTGACTTGAAACACCTTTCATCTTAAGTTACGTTTCCCCCCAATCAATACTAGTATTATTTAGAATTCTTGCATCTCGTTTTACACACTACTGCATTTGTATAAGTGCATGCGAACATCAATTTGCCTTGAAGACATATATCTATTCTGCACGCAAGTTTCATTATTATTACCATTATATATATATATATATATATATATATATATATATATATATATATATATATATATATATATATATATATATATATATATATATATATATATATATATAACAAATATTTTTTTGTGATGTAAATTCATGGTTCTCTAAGTGAAACACAATAGTATCCAGTGATCAGTTATAAATGTTTTAAAGATTTACAAATGCATTTGTACAGTTGAATCTCTCGCACAAATCGTCATGAAGGAGGAAAAATGACAGATTTACTCCAAAATTTTATTCAAAATATGGATTTTTACAGCAATAAAAGTAAAAACATAAATGGACCTTGGTACAAAAAAGAGTATAGGAGTATAGAAAAACTGTTGATAAAGGTACATATGTAAGTCAAAAAGGTGTTGCATCTAATTAAATAACAATATTGTTAAAAATTCACATTCTCTGTGTGGGTATAATTTTAACAGCGTGTGCGCTTGGTGGATCCTTTCAACAGAAACAAAGAAACAAACAAAAATACAGCAGACTTCAACAGAAACAACACTTTGTGTTTAAGTTATATGTACAAATTTCCCTCCCCTAGCTCCTCTTGGTATGACGCTTTGGTTTTTTGACGTCATTTCGGCGGTGGTGTTGTACATGATGACGTTTCAAGAGGTTTCTCATTTGCCGTTTTCGGTCACTGCTGTTAAATCTCCGATGCTTCGCCATTCGGTTCCTGAATTGACTACGGTGTCCTTTTCGGTGAAATTTTGGATCCCCTTTTTTCATAACTCGATGTTCTCCAAGCTGCCCGCGTCTTTTCAGTGCCATTTCCATGCGTTTCTTCTTAAATTCCCTTTTGTCATTATCTTTTTTATGAAGCCTTTTCGTTTCTTTCTTCTCTTTGTGTGATGCATGTTTTGGGGACTGTTCCACTTCGCCCCGTTTCATTCGATGAAGAGCAATGTCTCTCTCCAATTTCCTTTCCAGAATGGCCCTCTTCAGGCGTTTTACCCTTGACAACGCGTCAGTGTAACCCCTCTGTATTCTTTTCAAATCGGATCTTTTCTGACGCGATAACTCTTTATCATCGAATCGCTTTACTCTGGACAATTCCTCATCCTCCTGAAGACGTTTGACTCGTTTAAGTTCATCTTCCAAACGGAGTTGATCAGCTACTTCCACAGACCTCTTCTGCAACGAGCGAATCTGAAAGATTTCAGTTGACGTAAGTAATAATAGGTAAACAAAACATAAGTAAAAACTGCTGGAATTCAATTAAGGAATAACTGACTTTTGGGGGGGGGGGGGATTGTGATGTGATCAATCAATTTGCTCGCGTGATAATTTGCATAAACACCGAAGGCGTTTATGAGTAAAATTATCACGCGAGCAAATTGATTGATCATCATCATAAAACCAAAAAAACAGACAGTTATTCCTTATATTTACATTTTTACCTGATCCTTGATTCAATTAAAAAAATTCAATAATAAGAAATCTTAGCATCCCCACCAATTGTATTACTAAACAACACGCAGCGAAAAAGTATGCAGTTCTGTCACGTGCTGAGCAAATCGATTTATGGGGTTATAAGGCCATTACCTTATTTGTAGATTTATCTCAGAGAAAGACACTGGAAAATGTAAATAATCAGAAATAAAACATTATGCTGTAATGTTTCAATACGAAAGTCAAAAGGAGAGAGTGTAATCAAGAGAATATGATTTGAAGTGCAATTTTCATTTGATAAACAAATTGCTGGTGTTAAGAAATACATGTAGGAAGTGTCTATTTAAGGGGTTGGTACAGGATTTCCAGTTGGGTAGGGGGAGACAAGCTTAATGATAAATGACAACAGAAACTTACGCTACTTGGTTTTCATATGAGTTTAATAGCATGCAATTTAGCAGGAAATGCGATCCTTCGTTGTATTTAATCTACAATAGCAATTAAGGGTAGGTGCTCTCTTGACAGTTTCGAATGACTTTCAAACAAAAAAAAAAGATCCCAGTGCAATTATTACTTGCATATTGAATCGAAGTCTCAAGGAATTAATATCACTGCACCCATTTCTATATTTGGAGATTAAATATTACCTAATCGAAAAACTCATGTAAATGATAGAAACAATGTCCCCGATGGTTATGCAATGATTCTCATCATCAGTCAGTATAACACTCTGAAACTGTGGCAATTACTTCGTGCGTGGTTGCACTTTAAGGAATTTTTAAATCGAAGGTTAGACACAAACTAAGCTAAATGAAAAAATATGGTTCTTGTTTTTTTTTATTTTCGAGAAATTGAAGTCTGCACTGCGTCAATAACTTCATTGTTTCCCTACGGGAAAGCTCTTAATTAACTTTGCATCTTTTATGTGTATGCCGCCTGTATTAGCAGGAGTCTTATTGAAACTTGATAGAAATGGAGGCTAAACTTTTGAACATGATTCCAACAGTTAGTTCAAACACTGGAATACTGTACCTTAATTTTTGTGTGTGTGAGTTCGTTTTTGTTTTTGTTTTGTTTGATTTTTCTTTTAATGTAGCTATATGGAAATTTGTTTGCAAATTTATCTTCCCTTTTAATCTTAATGACAAAATATAGTTCTACTGTTTGAAAATATGACGAGAGGAAGAACGGAGGAACTGCTGAAGGTTTTTTAATCTTACTTATATTTCACTTTGAAGGGGATTTCGCCAAAAGAACAGGAAACAAAAGGATAGCAGATCAATTCAATGTCCTCTGTATCCCCATTGTTAAAAGAAAAAAAATATCAAAGAACTGTAAAGTATTTTTAAAATATCAAACAGGAAAAAAATATAATGACCAGTTGCAGCAAGCTTGAAGACAATTTTCTAGTTTATTTAACCTTTTGGCTTGTATGACATCTATCAGAGACGCTAGTCTTGCTTTTATTAGCTGTCTGTCTCCACAGGAACTTTCGAAAACTTTGCTGCATGGCCGTAGGAACCGGGGGGGGCACGGGGGGGCCGTGCCCCCCCCCCCCCAATAATTTTGCCGATATATAGATTACTATAGTAAACATAGATAATGTGTGCTTGTGCCCCCTCAATAAAAACGTCTGATGACCTTTTTTTTCTTTTCTTTTTTTTTTTGCTTGTTAAGGAATTTTGGTAGTTGAAATTTTTTTTTTTTGCTTGTCAGGAAATTTTTGGTAGTGCCCCCTCAACGTCAACTGAAAAATGTATGGCTGTGCCCTCCCCCCCCCCCCCCCAAACTGAAATTGCTTCCTACGGGCCTGTTGCTACGTAACGGCTACGTACTGCTGGATATCGCTTCAAGGCGAGGCCTATGTAGGGATAACGATTCATACAGTGCTTTCAACTTAGATATCTAGCCCAGACTACCTGCTACTATCCTGAACGCAGCCCTGATTCAACTGAACTTGGCACAAAGCATCCTCGAAAATAGAAGAATCAGATTCAATGTATAATGACCATATTTTGTACCTAATAAATGAATGGTCCGATATTTTAAATCATGGTAGCATTTTGAAGATGTAATCAAATATAAATGCTCCACCAAAAGAATTTATAAAATTTTGATTATTGTCCAATTAATTACACCTTGAATTTTACATTGAACTCTATGGGCAGTGCATGTTTTTATAAGATATTGTAAAAATAATTTAAATTTCAAACAAATCTCTTGGTGAAAATATGCATAAACTCCCTCTTTACTGAACTATGAAATAAAATGAATTATTTACCAAAGAAATTTTGAGAAATTGAAAATTTTCTTTTTTTCATCAAGGACAGATAATTCTTCAAAAACTTTTAACATTCAAAATGACCATCTCCCTACATGTTATAAGTCGCGTGAATTAGGTTCATTTCACTTTTATTGTTATCTAGCAATGCATTTTTGACTAGTTTAAAATTATTTAAAATTGTTCAAAATCCCTTCATTATACATTGAATACCTTAAGGTGGACCGAACCTTTTACCAAAGGGAGACAATTGAGAAATAGATATTGCGAGGTGAACTCATATTCAATCTTCTCCTTCAAAACAACTGGACCAGGAATTCTTTTTTAGTTTGGCGAAAGCTGACCCATGAAGTGAACACTTTCTTAAATGGACCTATGTTTTCTGCTTCAAGCTTGGTTTATTTTCAAGACAATCAGTGTAACGTGACAAATCAAGCACAGAGACTTAATTTCTCTCGGAGTTTTGAAAACAGTTATTAAAAAAATCGTATACTAAAAACTTTAGTTGTTAGAATATGATTTTTATATCTATTTTTACACTCCAGGAACAAGCCTCTGTAATCGAAGTAGCTCAGTGAACTACACCCGGTCAGGTTTCCTATTACTGTCGCATAAAATATTCATTCCAAATATCAATACAAGGAAACGTGTCTGCTGTTAGGACATCAAATTGATATCAAGTGTAAATACACAAATACATATTTATATTGATTTTGATAAAACGCTATTGTCCTTAGTATTCAAGTTGATTTCCTTGTTTCATGCGTCACGAAGCTTAACCATCAGGAATACGTTGCAGTGTCAATAGAAGATCGATTTCATGTTAATAAAAATTGCTATCAGTAACTCTTCTTCGCGCGCTCTCTCTCTCATTTTTCGTTTACTGAAATCTTGCATGTCAACAAGTTCATTATCAAATTAAGCAATTCATCACGTCCAGCCTATGTTAAAAAAATTTTGAATCCCTATTGTTTTTGTAAAGAATTCAATGATTGTAAACTGTCCTCGGGTATTTCGATAGAAAAGGAATGTTAATCATATCGCAATGTATTAGAATGTTTTCGTAAATTTGTGTTTTTCTGAGATAAAAGTACTGTTAGACCCCCCTTTTCCCACAAAACACAAAAAGGTTTCAAAAAGAAACCAAAGAATGGCATCAAAGACAGTCTTCTCTAGATTGGTGATGAATTTTGGATGCAGTAAGTGCTCTAACCAATGTAACATTTCTAAGATATGAAGTACAGTACCAATCAGACCCAACCTGACACCCAAGCAGACTGCTTTCTCAGAATTTGGGACTGTTCTGGGACCGCTTTGGGACTTTTCCAGAAAGGGAATCTAGCGGTCCCCAAAACTGCTTTCTGGAAATGCTTTGTTTATCCACGTTAAGCAGTCCCAAAGGCAGTCCCAGGGACTGCTTTCTGTCAGGTTAATTGGGTGTAGTTGGTTCTGTAAGTAACTGGAAGCGTATAATTTAATATGTCCATGTAGAAAAGCTATCTGCCTGTTTGTGAACGTGTCTTTCAGACACCTAACGGGTGATCGTTAAGTTAAAATGATATATCTACCTAGCTATAAATTTAAAAATGTTAGGAGACGGGCAAAGGAAGCAAATTATGTAAGCAATAATGGACGAGTGATAATAGTAGAAAAGGGAATTTTGTGAAGAGTATAACATTTGTTCTATAATAGGAATATACCTTTCACTAAGAAAATAGTGGGATGGAATATTTTATTACCCGTGAGGTCAAACCATCGGAGGCCAAGACTGACTTGATGAAATTTACTATTTATTTGTATGTTTGGCCATAGCACTCAGATTGATGTATTAATCAACGCATAATACCGTTGATTTGATGGTATGACAAATAACCTTCTTCCGATCCTCCAGATTACATGATGCGAATAGTGCTATAGACACGACAGAAGTATAATACAGTGTACTGTGACCATTCGCGTCCCTGATTGATGAAAACTTTGCATTTCATGTTCTTTGCATTTCATGTTATTCAATCAGTTCTTTGATAAAATAATGAGACCTCCATCAGCAGTAATTAATAATTCATCAAAAACAGAAAATGAGAAAAATCAAGGATGAATAAATACTTTTACTATTTACGACTAGCTTATTTATTTTCTTTGAAAGAGGTAGAGAGGATCGAATTGATCATCTTGATTTGACCAGAGGCTTGGTTGTGTTGATGCGTTGATGTGTTGACGTGTACGGAATTAACTGTTATGATCAAAAAGTGTGAATCCAATACCTTATCAATAATTTCATCCTTCAAGTATAGGAAAAATATGTAGTCATAAGTAATTCGCTTGTAAATTGAAAACGCGTCATCTAACATCTATTTCCACAAACGTGAATTAGAATGGACACAAAACCCTTGGCTTGCGACGATGGTCAACTAACGGACATTGGAGAATATTTACTATTTGCCCCCAAGTTTATTTAGAGACAATAATCACTGCTTCATCTTTAAAAAATCTGGAAATAAAAAGGTTAAAATAAGTTTGGGAACATAAAAAGTATGCAAGATGTAATGATGTGATGTGAAGCAAACTCTTGTGATATACCAAGTATCAATTTACTTTAAGTCTTCAAACCCTCAAAAAGTGTCGAGCTTAAGAGATTTGTGATGGACTCTTTAGCAGCAACGTCACTAATTTTGGTACACCGGGTGCGTATATGTATATGAGTGGCCTTATATTTAGATACTTCAAGCTGCTACGGTAACCTTGAACTTTGAGTCTAAAAATATTGAAGACCGCCTAAAATTTAACTCAATGTATCATAAAATACAGTCAAACCTTGTCTCGAGAACTCGACGGGACAAAATTAAACTTCGAGATATCCGAAGGTTCGAGATTATGAATGTAAAAAAACATTAAGAAAACATGGATGGGACTGCCAACTCACTTCGACATATCCCTGGTATTCGAGATATCGGCCGTGTTCGAGATATAGAACGAAGTTCAACTGTGTTGTATTTTAACAATGATAACATTTATGGCCGTGTCAAATAGTGTTTGTTTATCACCCTTTTATACCATTGTAATAAATTTTATTTAATAAATAAGTTTAACAAATCCTTTAAATATCCCCAAAATGTATTTATAAGGGATTGATTCAGCCATATACTAGTAATTAGTACTTGCAGAATATTTAAATGGTTTTTGAAATTAAGTCACGATATGTTAACTTTGAACTAGGTGACTCACTTCGTAATACCATGTCTTTAAATATTCATAATAAAACAAAAATGGATCCATTACATTCAATCTTCAAAGAAGATAGACACCAGCGTAAAATTACGTCCTACGTAATGATTTTATCCCCGATTTTCCATCATTAGTCAGTTAAGACTTCATTAAACATTTTTTCCAGTAAACTGTTTTTAATGTCAGTTGCCTGAGTCAAAATCAAAAATTTTAAAAATATAAGTGTCGGCTGCAATGTACTAGTGCCATCCTTCGTTCTGACCATATGGAAATTCGAATGAATTTTCTAGTAACCAAAATGTTATGTTTTCATATATAACTTCAGTTTATTATATCTTCTGTTTTGTATTTATTTGTTTGTTTTTTTGTGTGTTTTTCGTTGATGCTTCATTTGTTTTATTTTATGATTGTTTATATATGCCTTCGTTCCCTCTTTATTGATCAGTCTGTATAAAGGTCTTGTTCTGAAAAAAAAACATGCTTTAATTGTCCAGCATATTATGTTTAATCTTTATTAAGTGTATAAAACCTGTTGAAAATAGGACCATGGATCCAAAAGCTTAAGTATTTTTGCTCTTTAGATAGCAACTTTATTCAAACTTCAGTACATTCTATTCATGATTCTAATGTTGACCGCTAATAAATTAATGTCAATACGGGTACCCCCCCCCCCCACCCTCCTCATTTTATTTTTTCAACTTAAACTTGATAATACCTTAGTTTCAGACACCATGAAAGAGATCAATGTGTCATTTTATAAATTGAACATTAACAGATGGCAAAGTTGTGTAATATTGAAAATCTATATTGAAAATATAACCAGGTTTTTAATTACTAAATCGAAAACAGGTAGTTTTAATGCCGATCGAGTCTTAACATTATAGCATCGGATGCTAAACTTGGTCACAGCATGGGTTTATCCTGTATTGTTTCCAAAAGTCAGAAAGGAGTATATAACTTTGGGTAACAAAACAGGCTAAGCCCCATATAGATAGCACTCGGCATCCTCAGATTTTCAAAATCTATCGATTATTCCAACGGAGATTGAATAAATAATCACGAGTAAAAGTGCTTCTCCAATATTCGATTCATGGTAGTCGTAATGCTAATAAAAACACGCTAGTTAATTAATTGTGCATCCCTATTTGATATGTATATTTATAAGTGAAATAGAAACAGCGTTAAAATAGCTTCTGTATGATATATTCATGTATGTGTTAAATTCGAAACGGGAAGGGTATATAATCATAAAATGACCTTTCATGTGTTGCCTGTCTTAAGGAAGCCAAGATTACAGTGTATAGATAAGAATCAAATATTGTCTTAATATTCTAACATTCTTCAAACATGCTGGATTTTTCAAAATGTCTGAAAAGCATGCAGTATAACTATATTATAACCTGTTTTATTTTTTACATCATACAGATTATGCTAATACTGCTTTCATATACATAGATTTGATCTTCAATGTCGATTTTTCTTAACATTAAATAAATTAATCTCTTCTGATGATACATCCAAATAGAACAAATTTAATTAAAAATGAAATTCAATAATTGTCTCCTATCTAAGATTTCTGTTTTTGCTTGAGAATTTTTTTTCCTCACTAACCCTAATTTTATGAAGATACTAACCGAAAACAAACATTTCTTTTTGCATGCTGTATGCTCTGGAATTTCAAAGCCAAAATGTTTACCCACCTCCGACGCCGCAAAGGACCACGAAGAAACAATAGTCACAAAAAGCAGCAGGAAAACTGAAACACAACGTTCCATGGTGGAAAATTTCTGTAATCACGCCATTCAGACGACACTTACTAAATGGAAATGGCTATCAGCTCCCTTCAGCTTTGGTATAATCATTTTAAAAATCGATGGCTGCTGCGACTGCGCAGTACACATGAACTGATGAGACCAAGGTCATGTGACTGCTCTCTGCCAGTTTCTGTGTTTTTGCTTTGGAAATGAAATCGATTTTCTACCTCAGATTTGTTGTTTTTAAAATTCTGGTTACGAAAGAATTTCACAATAAACGAACAAATATATGTTTCAAGATGTATCATGCAATTAATGGCCTTTGGGTGGTTTAGGATTAATCATTTTAAGACACCCTGATGAATGGTTCCGCGACTGATAACACTTTGTTTCCCGAAAGGCTTGAAGTAGGCCTACGTCATTCATTGCTTTGTTAAAAATTGGTCATACGTTATTTTTTTTAATCTCTGGAAAACTACGCATTTAATTGATTGTCTTCAAAATCACTTTACAACTGCCATTGATTTGAGACATGTATGAAAAAGAAAGAAGATAAAATATTAGTAAAGGTACTAACAATTCTATATACACTAGCTAGCATTTTTCTTAAATACGTTACATACAATTATACATAAGGGGTTATTTCAAATTTCTAGAGACTTTCACAGTCATCACCGTTTTCAGTTTGACGCTGAGGGAAATAAAAGTCTGGAAACCCCAGAAACCATCCATATTTACGGCAACCTTGGAGCATGAGAAGTTGCAGTTGACGAAACCGTGCTTGCATCTAGCTCCCAAAATTCCCAGTATTGAAATCGAGTCACTCCAGCCAAAAAAGTAGATGCTAGTGCCCGAGGGCTAGACCATAAGTTACAGAGTCTTTTTACAATTCATCTTTAATTTATCCAGTGGCGATCGAGTTCAGGATTTGCTCACTTTTGCGCGGTGGTTGAGAAAGGGGATGATGCATGGGAGAAGGTGGCCACACCCAGTCGAGTCAAAAATTTTCTTACATGCTAAAAAGACTAAAACGTCAACTTATTTATTGTGGGTGGGGTAGGACTGAACCAATGATGAACTTTGCAAACAATTGCTAATAGTTAAAACTGTCCTTGACTTAATGTAAAAAATTCTTTGTATCATATATAAGGAGGGGTTCAGGACAGGTTTCCTGAAGGGATGGCACCTTGGTCATTTAGTGTAAATTACTATGTCATATTTCATCAACCTTAAAAATCCATGCCTCCCCCCCCCCACTCCGGATGGATCCGCCACTAACAAATTCAAAGTTATAGGAATTAAAATTACAAATTAAAAAAAAAAAAACACGCAGTCTTAATGTGTCAACCAACCAGGATGTGATAGTGGATTATAATTTCAATCCATGACTTTTACCAAAACTCCCACAATAACACGACCATTGATAGCACTTTATCAAACAAGCAGATTTTTAAACACTGTGTTTGGACGTTTGTATATATTCTCGTCTGAGGCAGTTGAAGGGGTACATTAAAAATGCATGGGTGAATTATGTGTACATTTGATATATTCATACATATTTCTCAAAATATTTTTTGTTAACAGTATCAAAATAACATTGAAATTCTGTGAGTATATTTGCAAATATTAATTTCCAATTATCTCGAGCTAAGATTCATCTATCACACAACCCTCTTTGGGCACTGATTCAGAAGGCAATGGTTTAGCAAACCTTAAAGAAGAAAATCGTGATTCCCCTAATCTCTCACAAATATTACATTCACATCTGTAGTTACCTGAATCTCACTGTGCCTCCATTATAAGAAAATCACAAGTAAAATGCCCTTTCTATTTTTGGGATTATTAGTGACAAACTTATTCATTGGTATACAAAATGACCATGCTAAGGAGGTAGGTGAAATCTTGGAGAGGCGGATCAAAATGTTCGGTGATGCCATTTTAGGATTTTCCGACATTGAGCACATTTATTCCAACGACACCTCTGTGAGTTTTTTGAACTTTGCGGCATGGAATCATTTGGAGAGCATGGTCCAAATTCTGGAAGAAAGATTAAACAAGATAGTTGACGTCTTGTATGATAATAAGAAACTTATCGAGAAAGCGTACAATAGCAATGACTTCAGGACATTCCGGGACCAAGATCTCTGCTGTAAGGTCGATTCTTCAGATTTGGAATTAGATCTTCAATTCAACCGCATGGTGTCAAAATCTATTTGTTTCATGAAATCAGATTCTTCCCCCGGTGACAACATCGACAAAACACATAGCAGTGTCTTCCGGGAAAACTCGGAGAAGTCGCTATTTTTATTGTGGCAGTACTTCGGAGATTCCTTGGGAAATTATTTCCAGTATCCTGCCAAAAAGTCGAAGTGCGATGGAAAAGTTTGGAATGATCCAAGATTTCAGTAAATTGTTTATTCTTTGATTTATTGCAAATATTGAAACAACCTTCAAAAGTCTAGTCGGAGCAATGTATTGTCTACATTGAGAAATTTTATTGAGATATTCACACACAAAAGAATTTTTAAAGATATTATTGTATCAACGTTTTGGATAAAAAAAAAGAAAATTGACTTGCTTGTTGTTTATATAGGATTGTTGCTGTAAGGTCAAAAAAGAAAAGAAAAGAAAGAAAAAAAAACCCAGTAAAATTATTAAAGCGATTTTGTGCGTCAATATATATAATTAATATGTAAACATAATTTAATATTGAAATAAACATGGTCTTTAATCCGATAATTTTATGCTAGCACATTTTATCAACTCTGTTAATAATACGTCAGACAGACTAGCCCGTAAGAAATTTTGACGTTTGTAAACTTTTTCAACAGTCTGTTTTTATTGATATATTCAATGTAAATAGGTAGATAGCTTTTGTAATGCTTAGACAGTTTTATCAGAGTCGATATTGATCAGAACATATATGTGCACCATGTGTAACGAGCATTCATTAATTTTAGTAAGTCATTTTAAACTTTGTCAACATTTAGTCTGGTCAGGTACATATATTCTAACCGAATGTTAGTATAATATCACCCCCTGTATTTTATTGACCATAATTGGTCAATAAAAAATATATATACGTACGTCCCTGGCTCGAGCCCAAAATCATTTTTAAAAATTTATTAATCAAAATTTAGCAAAGGCAGCAACAAGTTTAAATGATAATATACATGTATCTTGATCCTTTGGTGTTGATCAGTTCTCATTTCTTTCTGCATTTCTTTATCACTGTTTATGTCTCAAATGTGTTCATATTTTTTCTCCTTCAAATTTAAGTCTACTATGTAAAAAAAAAAAAAATTACGAAAATTATACATCTCTCTGATTGAATGGCCTCCCTTGTTACATGTAACTCTTCTGCGTTGGAAGTAAAAAAACATATTGTTCCGCGGGAAATTCGTTCAGTTCCCGCAGCATGCAGTCTGGGACACTGTCGAAATCTTTATCACACGTAGTTATCTTTCAGGGATTGGTTTGTTCACACCGTGGTTCCCAATAAAAAGAATGTGGTCATTGTTCTTGACGCCAGTGGCTCCATGTCCGTGGCTGTTAATGGGATGGGGAGTTCTACACCCACCAGGAGCGCTATCGCAAGAGAGGCAGCCATGACAGTACTGGGGACACTCAGTACAACAGATCATGTACGTTACACTCAGCTTTCTGATATTTTCTTATCTCAAGGTGTAGACGCACAGTGTGTCATTAAAAAAACCCCATATATACAGGTTATACTTTTCACCTACGTGTAATGACCAGGGTCTCCTGGTGATTATGTCAGATACCAATATTATCAGCTATTGTCAACATGGTCAGAAGAAAGGTGGTATGTACATGAATTCAGGCATGGAGGTGGAGGAGCAAGGGGCGTTTTGTATGGAAACTATGCATTCAAAGGCTGGCTGACTCACCTTTTATTGAATTATGGTCAACAGTGCCAATAGCATGGCACGTTACTAGCCCCATGCCCTAGTAAATATTTGAGGGGTTTTTTGGCTAGTAGAATGCAGGATTGCACTAGTCCGGTTAGACTAGTAGAATTTCAAGCTGTTTTTATCCATTTCCATCTTGTTGTTTTAATTAGTTAAAAAAAAAAAATTGTCTGAAGATTTGTTTCTTCATTTAAATTTTTCAACTTTCTCACTGACTTTTTTTTTTTATCTTTCTGTCCATGCTTGGTTATTTATAATTTTTAGTTTCCAGTTGCCTTAAAATTCTTAAAATTTTCCCCGACCGACCCTAAAATATGTGAGCCGATCCTAAAAAAATTATTCGCAGATATCTTTCCAGGAGTAAGCTTTTCCAGTTTCACTATTAGAAATCCTATAATCTCGATCACCTCTGTGTTTCAGAAAATGCATATCCTATACACATTAATCAGAAATGTTTTGACAGTGATTTCCCTGGGGGAAAATGGTAGCATGCTTGCCAATAAAATATTAAAATAAAATATAATGTTTTCCCTACCTACCTACCCTATTTTTTCTCAGGTTGGAATAGGAAACACACTATTTATTTATCTTGGCCTAATGAGCCTTCTTGACTAAATCTAAAGGAATGAAACTAAACTGTCATTTTATTTTTCAAACTTTTAAAAGGGCTTTCCCACCCAGTAAAAAGTGATTCAGGGTTAGTAAAATTTTGCCAAATGTTGTTTGCCTGACTGGGCTAGTGCTGAAAAATTTTTTTGGGCACACTAGGTCAAGTGCCTGTGTTATTGTACTCCCCCCCAACCAAAAAAAAAAAAAAAAAAAAACAGAACCGAGAATGGAAACTTAGATTAGATCAACATATATGTTTTTATTACAGTGTCATGTATTATGTTAGATATCACAACTTAGTTGTCTTAGTGTATTGATTTCATATTTATTTAGCTTTCAGATTGATAGTAGCGATAAATAACTTACAGAGATTGGCAACTCTAATCATAGACAGCCATGTAATATGTGACAGACACTGCATAACACTACAAAATTAACTTTACTTCATTTCACATACCAGTGTACTCTATTTTATTGAAATACATATGTATGAATGTATAGGATTCTTAGTTTAAAGTACCTATTGATATTAAAATATACAAGAAGATAAAGATGAAATTAAATCT